ACCCCGAGGCCAGGAGGCCCGAAGACTTCAGATAGGTCCCTGCGACCCTAAGATGCAAAGACCCTGAGACCTGAAGGCCTGAGCATCCTGATGCCCTGGGGGCCTTAAGACCCTCAAGCCATGCAACCTCAGACCATGGTACCCTGCGACCTTAAGGCGCGAATGCCCTAAGATGCTCAAGACCCTGGGGTCCCAACGCTCTAAAGCCCCAACAACTCACAGCACAAAGAGACAGGCCATGCCCGAGGACCCTGGGGCCCCAAGACCCAAAGGCCCGCGAACACTAAGGCCCTAACAGCTGAGAGCCGCAGCCCCTTATATACGAATTATCCAGGACCCCGACACCCAACACCCGATGCCACGAGACCCAAGACCCACACGCCGCAACAACTGCTCACTAGCAGTGTAAGGATACGACCCTCATGTCCTACAGCCCTCGGACAATAAGACCTCAGGGCCTTGGGACTATGGGACCCAAAGACCCGCGTGGCCCTATAGACCCTGGAGGTCCTAAAAGCCGACATCTCGAGTACCTTAGCGCCAAAAACGATAACGCACTAAGACCCCAAGAACTTGCGACAGTAAGTCTCCGATTCCCTGGGCCCCGCGACCTCGGGACCACCTGGCCCAAAACCAACCGAACATCCTAAGAGCTGAATGCGCAGTTCATTTGGACGCCACATCCACCATAAGACACCAAGACCCGCATACCCAAAGTTCCAAACACGCGATGACACTCAAATCCGAAAGCCCTAAGATATCGAAGCGCCAATACCCTAAAGACAACAATCTTCCCCAACACCCGAAGACCTGGGAGCCAAAGACTAGGAGCACCCGAAACCCTTAGATACGAAGACGCTAGGACCCTGATGCGTCAAGATCCCAAGACCCTACAGCCTGGAGTTCGCATGAGTCAAGAAACCTTGGGACATCAGACCCTAATACCATAAGTAACGCCTTAATTTCCTAACACGCTGAGCCGCTGGAGACGCAGTCCCAAATGCCATCAATCCGTAGGGGCGTCGGGCCCTAGGGGGTTCTAAGACCCAACGACCCGAGGCTCCTAAGACGCCAAGGCATTCAGGCACCCACTCCCTGATACACCCCAGGACCTCAATGCCCGATGCCCCCAAGTCCCAAAGGCCCCAAGATCTCAGAATCCCGCGACCCTATGGACCGACAGAATTTCAGGCCGCCCCGAGAACCTCAGACCCGAAGTCTCGAGAACCTTGAGACCATGATTCGCCAATTCATTTATGCCGTAAGACCCAAAGGGCCTCAGACCCTACAGTGTAAACTCAGGCCAAGAATCACCCTGCTTGCCTCCAGGGTGCCCTGGGTCTCTTGGGTTTCGATGCTTTTGCAATGGAACGCGTGACGTTCCCACACCAGAAATGAATGGACCTCGTAGGGTCTCAGGGTTGGGTTTCTTTTGGGAGGTTTCTTGTGGTCGACCTCCTACTGCACATCCATACCTTAAAACCCAGAGGGCCTCAGACCCCAAGTCCCCATGGCGCTCGCGGGCGGTTGCTTCGAGGGCACCGGCACCGGAACGTTCCGGTGGGACTCCGGCCCCGGCGTCTGCCATCTGCCGCACCTCGGCGAGGGCTCTCTCTCTCTCTCTCCCTCATTGTGGCGCTGCCGAAAAAGAGGAAGAGGAGCAGGAGGAGGAGGAAGAGGAAGAGGAAGAGGAAGGGGAGGAGCAGGAGGAGGAGGAGGAGGAGGAACGGTCCTAATCCCTCTCCGTCCTCCTCCCCTTCCTCTTTATCGTTGTCCTCCTCTTATCCGTAAGCATGATTATCTCCTGCTCCCCCCGGTAATCTGAGAGTGGGGGCCTCGTCATTGCAGGCGTGCCTCCACCTCCCCCCCCACTCCTTCTCCTCCTCCTCCTCCTCCTCCTCCTCCTCCTCCTCCTCCTCCTCCTCCTCCTCCTCCTCCTCCTCCTCCTCTTCCTTCATCCGTATAGATGTTTCCACCGTGTCGCACCTCCAGTCTTGTCGGTAGGGCGGGCCGTGCGTTTCGCTTGGGACGCCCCCATTATGTATGTTTGAATTCTGAAACAGCTTCAAGATTGAAGGGCGGGTCATTTTCAATATGTGTCTCTCCCTATAGCGCGGCGCAGGCGTTTGAATAGTTTGCGCTTCAAGGATGGAGGGCATGTCCTTTTCAAAATGTTAGCCAGCGTGGGCCCGAAGCAAAATGTTTCTAGCAATATAGGTTGCGCAATGTGGGTGGTGAAGTCTACGTGGTGCAATCTATGTGGGACAATCTGTGTTGTGCAATGTGCGTGGGGCAATATATATGTGGTGCAGTCGATGTTCCGCAAACAATGCTTACAATTTTGGGATTTGTATTTCTGCTCTCAGGAACTGGGCCTGTCTGCCGCTATGGCGGCTATGTTGCCGCCGTCGCCGCCCAGTCGCCGCCTCGTCGCCGTGCGTCGTCTGGGCCTGTCTGCCGCCCTGGCGATGATGTTGCCGCCGTCGCCGCCTCGTCTCCGCCCTTTGTCTGGGCCTGTCTGCCGCTCTGGCGGCGACGTTGCCGCCATCGCCGCCACGTAGGTTGCTCTATATAGTGCCCACCACACATTTTTTAAAAGAAAGGAGAATTGACATTTACTTCCTCGCGCGCGCCCGCCTCCCATGCCCGCGCAATCATCCCACTCGCCTGCCCGCAATTTGGTTTGCAAATCCTATCCAGCGGCGTGCGATGCCTGCTTGGCGTTGGTTCATGCGTCGCTGCGGCCCTAGCCAGCGCATGCTCGCGCGCGCAACGGCCAGCTAGTCTGCCGCGAGCGACGCGACCATTGTGGCGCTGACCGCTGGACACCTCCCAGCGCGTCTCGCAGGCCGCGCTGACGCTCGGGCAAATCAATGCGAGTCGGTGGCTCGGGCGGGCGCGGTATCATGGCGAAGTCGACAAGCGGCAGACGCGATGATGATAGTAGCGATGAGAGTGGCGGCGATGCCGATGACGACGGCACGGCCAACGACGGCGCCTATATTCATCACGCAGGTGGCGATGATGGTGCCCACGTGTCGGTGATGAATGATTTGGAACGGTTTCGAGATGCCCGCGCGGCCGACGCGCGCGAGTGGCCCGCGTCGCATTATCTGACAAGGATCGCGCCCGCCCAAAAACACGCGCGCAAGGGTGATCAAATGATTTCGACATGCACGCTCGAGAGGCCCGCTTGGTCGATTGTGATGAACATGTTGAACAACCGATGGTTTGTACAACAATTCGCAATTGCGCGCGTATACCTTTTCTCGAAAACAAGCGTTGCAAAACCATAGTGCTTAGTTAATCCGCGCGGAACCGCAGGTCTCCCAATGATGTCGGGATGGGCGCGCCACGACGCGCACGTGCGAACTCCGTCCCACTTGTTGCAACATATGTTCGGAACCAAACGGTTTTTGATCACCGAGTGCGCCTGCATAGTAGTTATTGCAAATGATGGGGGGGTCGATACCATGTTGGCTGGGATGGAATGAGTTTATAGTTCGAACAAAAGATGGGGCATAGTCGAGTTAAATTTCGATGCGGGCCGGTTGGCGGTTCATCGCAGGTGGGTGGGTGGTAGATCATCGATTTTGATAGAAAGGGGAATCTATGTTGTGCAACTTATGCTGTGCAATCTACGTGCGGGCGGCGACGGGGCGGCGAAGGCGGCAACAAGGAGGCGGACCCGACGAACGAGCCCAGAGGACGGGCGGCGACGAGGCGTCGACGGGGCGGTCACGGCGGCAACAAAGCGACTGACCCGACGCACGGACCCAAACGACGGGCGGCGACGAGGCGGCGGTTGGGGCGGCGACGGCAGCAACACGGCGGCGGATTTGACAAACGAGCCCTGACGACAGCCGGCCACGGGGCGGCGACGGCGGCAACAATGAGCCGGGCCCGAAAAACGAGCCCAGGCGACGGGCGGCGACAAGGCGGCGATGGGCGGCGAGGGCGGCAACAAAGCAGCGACCCGACAAGCGAGCTTTGACGACGGGCGGCGGCGAGGCGCCGGCGGCGGCGACAAGGCGGCGGACCCGACAGACGAACCCAAACAACGGGCGGCGACGGGGCGGCGACGTCTGCACTTAAGCGGCGGATCTGACAAACGAGGCCAAACGACGAGCGGCGCTGAGGCGGCGATGGGGCGACGGGCGGCAACGAGGCGGCGGGTGTGGCGGCCACGGCGGCAACAAGGCCGCGGACCCGACAAATGAGGCCGTGCGACCGGCGGCGCTGAAGCGGCGATGGGGCGGCGACGGCGGCAACAGCGCGGCGGACCCGACAAACAAATCATTTTTTGTATAAGAAAAAAGAAACTCAGTAAAAACGCCAATTTGCAAACACCGTCTGAAGAGTGTGGTGTTTGCCCAAGCGTTGCGCACAATCGTTTGAAAAGCTTGCAACAACTTCATCGATTAAGGGCGTCTTTGCTTCGAACTGTGGCTCTCGCTCCAGCGCCGCGCACATTCGTTTAAAAAACTTGCGCCAGCTTCAAGGATAGAGGGCTGTGCCGTTTTTTTAAGTGCGGTTATCGCTTCAGGCGCCGCGCACATGTGTTTACAAATCTGGCAAAAAAATGCAAGTGATCGTACGGTTGACTTCCCAGGACCTTTGCTATTGCACGATTGAGGTTGCCAGCACGCAACAGTCCTTTTGAACCGCGGTGGTGAAGTCTCAGCAATTACGTTTTGCCATGCTTGGCACCGTGAGGACGTACAGCCACGTTAACTCGCGGTGTTGAAGTCTCAGCTGTGGTGCGTGGCACGATTGGGGGAATTCTTCAATGGGGCGTCTCCCACATTCAAAAAAAATGGGTTGTAGGGACTTGTGAAGACGGAACTTGGAAGGAGAGTGTATCTAAACATCGTTGGTGCGTCTTGGGTTTACACTGGTCCTCTTCCTCCTCTTCATCATCATCGCAGATATGTTATTATGATAGTTCTTCTTGCGACTCTATTCTTGGGATCCGCGCAGCAGGCCCCGCCGGCGGCGGTGGGGATCGCCCAGCCCCCGCTGGCGGCGGCGCGGTCGGCGGCGCCCTGGGACACGGAGGCTCTGCGAGCGCGCGGTGAGATGAAAGTTCGGCCCTACGTCCATCCATCATCATCATGATCACGATCACGATCATGATCATGATCATCACCGTCGTCGTCATCATCATAATCATCATCATAATCATCATCGTCGTCGTCATCGGCATCATCATCGTCGTCATCATCATCATGAGTGGAAGTTCGACCCCGACATCCGTCCATCTATGTGGTGGACCTCGGCGAGGGCTGAGGGCTCGCTCTCTGGAGGCGGTCGAGGGGGCGAGGAGGATGAGGAGGAGTGGGAGGAGTGGGAGAAGCAAGGATTACTTCGTCCTCCTGCTGCTGCTCCTCCTCTTCACCCTCCTCCTCCTCCTCCTCCTCCTCCTCCTCCTCCTCGTTGCAACTGTGTGTTTGTGTGTTCTGGTGATTGGTTCTGGTATCCTGAATATGGGTTCTTGTTTCTTGTTATTGGAGACTTGCCTCCACCTCCAACGTCCAGTCCTCTCTCGCTACTCTGAATCGCTCTTCCCAGCACACTCATGCGTTCTAGTATCATTATCCGCCCACGCACGTTCATGTCCACTTACACTTAGTTATTTCGTCACCCTCATGAATGTTCCCACTTAGTTGTATTGCTCCCGCCCGGCAATTCACAGTCGCACACCTATACACACGCCCTTCCTCCAGCGATGGGTTGCAGCCGGCTGGTTAAACAGCATAATGGCGGACAATACACATAGCGCCTACTTCCGACGGCGAAATGACACCACACCGCTGCTGATTGACGCCGGCGGACTGGAGGTCAGCAAGCCACCTGGCGCTCCAGGACGCGAGGGCCCGCTGCCACGGCCTTGCGGCTCCTCGGAGCCCGGCCGCGAGACCTCGAGCGGCGCGGTCGGCGCACAGGGCCCGCCAGGTCGCCTTGGCGGGCAGCGGGGCGCCGGCACGGAGCGCCGCAGAGAGGGCCCCGGCAGTGCGGGGAGAGCGGAGGCAGGCGGACTGAAAGAGGAGAAGCGGTTGCCTGAGTGGCGCGGCCATCGCGGCCAGCGCGGGGCAGCCAGCGCGGCCGGCGGGGGCGAGTCCGTCCAACTCGAGGGGGAGGAATTGGGCGAGCCGCCTAGCCCTGGTCCCCCCCAGCGGCATCTAGGGGTGCGCCGCTAGAGTGCTGCCGCAGCCTGGGAGCCACACCCCCACATACACACACATTCACACACATTCAGACACATACACACATACACACTCGTTTCCCATTTCGCGGCGCTTGGTTGCAAAACAAGTTGTGCAAGGCGCAGCAAGTATGCTGTGAAGGCACAGTATCCGCCTTATTGTGTGGCAAGGTGCACAGCTCAGAAAACCCAGGAAAAGCCGAACATAGCCGAACACGCGCACGCACACACAACACAAGCACACACATCGTTTTCATTCGTCTCAATAGTATGTTCGGCAGCATGCACATCTTCAGTATCACTTGCACCCACTTTCACAACACTCACAAATCTTCATACTCATATGTTCACGCTCGCGGTCAGTCTCACTCGCACCCGCTGAGTCTTTCGCTCACTGTGGGCAACACGTCTGGACCCGCCAACGGCGACGGTGCCGGCAGCGACGAGGCCTCTGGAGAGGCCTTCCGACACCTCCGCGGTACTCCAGAAGCCCTCCGAGGGTTTCCTGGAGGCCCCGGAAGCACCGGAGGCGCCCAAACATCTCCACTCTCTAACCCTTTACGGCGGCGGCGCCGCCGAGAAGCGTGACCCCGGGAGGCGCCGCGCCGGGTCCCGGCGAGGGCGCCGCTGCTGGGGGGCTTGGCGGTGGGGCTGGCGGTGGCGCGGGGGGAGGATCCCGCCCTGAGGTCGGAAAAGTGCGCGTAAAGATAAATTTCCAGGGTTCGCGCGGATTTCTTGGATCGGCGTTGGGCCCCCCCCGCATCTCGTTTCTTTCCCGGCGGACTGGGTTCTTTCCCGGTAAACTGGGTTCTTTCCCGGCGCGGCGCTGGGAAAGAGTCCAGTTTGGCGCGGTGTTTGCGAGGAAGTCTCGCGCGTCGGTTTTCGAAGGTGCCGCTGGCGCCTTAATGGTTGGCACCGTAGTTTCGCGGGGACACGCCGGGAAAGAGTCCAGATGTGAACAGGACTACCACTACTACTACTACTACTACTACTACTACTACTACTACTACTACTACTACTACTACTACTACTACTACTTCTACTACTACTACTACTACTACTACTACTACTACTACTACTACTACTACTACTACTACTACTACTATACTACTACCTACTACCTACTACTACTACCTACTACCTACTACCTACTACCTACTACCTACTACCTACTACCTACTACCTACTACTACTACTACTACTACCTACCTACTACTACTACTACTACTACTACTACCACCACTACTACTACTACTACTACTACTACTACTACCACTACTACTACTACTACTGCTGCTGCTGCTGCTGCTGCTACTACTACTACTACTACTACTACTGCTACTACGTCCCCGACGTTTTCAAGCAAGTGTTTGCGCTCTTCGAAGTGTTCTGCCTCTGGAGGCCGTTCCGGGGCTTCAGCACAATCAACGACAATGTACTATCAAAAGTTGATGCCCGAAGAGGGGTCGCAAGGCCCGGCGCTAGGAATCGAAAGAGACAATACCGGAGGCTTGGGTTTGGGAACATATTTGTTACATCCACGGTGGCCCAAGGCGTGCCTCCAACTTTCATGCTGGCAATTTCTGCCTTGATGTTCCCTTCCGTGCCCTCCTCTTACTGAAGGAAGAAGGAGGCGCAGGGCAAAGCGAAGCAGCCCTAGACTCATTCTTTTGAGACTCCTCAGGAGCAGAAGGAGGCGGCGATGGCAGCGGCGGCGAGGACGGCAACCCCGGTGACGGCGGACCGTCCTTGCCGCATGCTTGGGTTTCCAAGTTGACCGGTACCATGATATTACACACGGTGCAGAATGCGATGAGGTTGGCCGCGTACCTGCTCGAGCTGCTGACGGGCGGCTACGGCACTGTCAGCAACTTGCACATTGCGTGTTGGGAGGGCTCTGTGGATGCGCTGGAGGCCATCACCCGTGGCTCCACAGAGGTAGTGCAGGGGTGGCATTCACGAAAAGGGGATCTGACTCCACTACACATAGGTGCCATGTGCGGACACAGTGGTGTCATGGATTTTCTATTGCAGATGGGGGTGAACCCAAATGTTGTGACAGTACACGCCATCAGCGCTCTTCACATATCAGCATCTTCGAGTACGGAGGTATCAGAGGCGTTGGTGAGTGGTAAGGCTGATGTGAATGCCCTCACTGCCGACAAAGACGCCCCGCTGCATTTCGCGTGCTGCTACCAGCAGATTGCCACGATGGAGCTGCTCCTGAAGGAGGGATGCGACGCATCCGCGGCCAACAACTTCGGGGTGACCGCGCTGCACATCTGGGAGGGCAGAGCGGGCGCCTGACCGTAAACTTCGGACGCCCGCGTGCAGCTCCTCCGCTGGCGCCAGACCCCCCTGGAGGAGGAGGAGGAGGAGGAGGAGGAGGAGGAGGAGGAGGAGGAGGATGAGGAGGAGGAGGAGGGGGGATGAGGAGGGGAGGGGGGAGGAGGAGGAGGAGGAGGAGGAGGGAGGAGGAGGAGGAGAGGAGGAGGAGGAGGAGGAGCAAGGAGGAGGAGGAGGAGGAGGAGAGGAGGAGGGAGGAGGAGCTTTTGCCCACACGCGGGGCAGACAAGAGGGCGGGAGGGGAGCCTGCCCCGCCTCACAGCAAAGGCCGCGCCCTCGTGCGCCCTCGCCCCTGCAACCCCTCAGGAGGAGTGGAGGGGTCGAAGAGGAGGAGGAGGAGGAGGAGGAGGAGGAGGGAGGAGGAGGAGGAGGGAGGAGGAGCAGTAGGAGGAGGAAGATAAGGAGAAGGAGGGGTACGACATCTGCTGCGTCCAACTGGTGATCCCGCCCCGCCGCCAGGTACAGTCCTCCATACACTGTCGCCAGCCCCCTTGGTATCCATCCACGCCTCCCTTAGCGGACGGAGGACGGGGTAAAGCAGAAATTGCTCCGCGATCGGGGGACGCCTGTCCCAGGGTGGCTGGAAAGTTGATTACCCTCACGTGCCACCGTCGGGGCGTCCCCGATGGCGGAATGGCTCTTCGTCCACCGACTGTCGTCCACCCCGACACGCCCCTCCCTGGCGCGCGAAGCGCGCCAAGGAAGGAGCGGGCCAGCGCCGAAGGTGTCGCCCAGAAGCCAAGGGCAACGTTAGGGGGGGATCGGCTCAGGGGGGAACGCACCGTCCCGCGATCGCTCGCTCATGAACGATGTGGGCCCGATGGCCCAACCAGCTAAGGCACGCGCGGTGCCGCTGTCGAGGGCGCGTCGCCGATCTGTCGGCGGTGCAGCGCCGATGCCAGGTCCATTGCCCCTGCAACCCCTCGGGAGGAGGAGGAGGGGTCGAAGAGGAGGAGGAGGAGGAGGAGGAGGAGGAGGAGGAGGAGGAGGGAGTAGGAGCCAGACCCCCCACCTGCCGTTCCCCCTCGAGGGGTGCGCGGGGGAGAGGGCCCAGCACCGGCGGGCTGCCCGAAGTTTGCGCTCGTGCGCGCGCCCTCCCTCCCAAGCATCGCTGCCGCGTACACGGCCCTGGAGGCGAGGCTCCCCCATACCCCTCCCCCCCCTCCCTACTCTGCTCACCTCCCTCCTTCCCCCCTCCAACCACCTCCATCCTTCTCGCGCCTGCCTCCTCCCCCCTCCTCCATCCTCCTCCCGTTTCTTCATCCTCGAACCGCCTCCTCCCTCCCTCATCCTCCCTTCCTACTCCTCACTCCTCCTCCTCCTCCTTCTCCTCCTTCTCCTCCTCCTCCTCCTCACTCCTTCTCCTCCTCCTCCTCCCCCTCCCCCTCCTCTCCTCCTCCTCCTCCTCCTCCTCCTCCTCCTCCTCCCCCTCCCCCTCCCCCTCCTCCTCCCCCTCCCCATCCCCCTCTCCCTCGTCCGTGGCCATTTGGCGAAAGCTCTTTCTCGAGTGATTTGGGCACCGCTAACATCATCGGTGACTGGCCCGAACTCGACCGGAGCGTGAAGATCCCTTTCCACTAGTTCTGCCAGGTGTACTTGCTGCGTTTCCTCGACATGGCCACTTCCACGTCAGTCCATGACCGTTTCGACAGTCATAGGAGTAAGTGGACGGATCATCATGATAACAAGGCGTACGCTCTCCGTGTTCTTTGGGATCTACCTCTTCACACTCGTCAGCGCAAGCGTGAATTCAGCAGTATGTGGCAGATAAGTTTGGTCTCCGAGGCTCGGGGTGGACTGCTACGGTATGCCTGAGGGTGAATGGGGGCAAAGCAGTTCTGCAAATAACGGACCAGTTCGAGTGTTGGGAACTCGTCAAAAGCCGTCAGGTCGGAGAGGACTCCTTTGTATTTCGAGCCGCTACAGGGGAACTGTGACGTCTGGGGCATGACGGCGCAGGTGATGCAGACCATCTTGGAACCTGTCAAGCGTTGACGTGTTGCGCCGAGTCCATAATATACATGCACGTTTACAGTTGAGGCTGCTCTCAGCCCTCCTCTTCCTCCTGTGCCGCCTGTCTGCGCTTGCTCCGCTAATTGTCTGTCTGTGTGTCCCTCATCCCCTCTTCCCTGCATTTTGAAATTCATCAGTTTTCCAGACTAATCATTCAGTGTCGGGACGTGGAACAGCCAGGCCATGATCGGTAGTGCACACAGCAAGCAGCAGTCCATCCGAAGTAGATCCAAGAGACTTCGGCAACTCTTGAGGCATGATGTTATCCGTGTTCAGAGCTTTCACGCAACCCCTCGGCAATTCGAACACCTTCGCCATGACTATCCTCAATACACCCTGTACGGCAGTTTCACGGACACGGCACTTTCTCATTGTCTAACTCGTTCATGCAGCAGTTTTCTTCCGTCGATGTTCTGGAGATCATTCCACGACGCGCGGGTTGATCAAGATGTCGGAGCAAAGCTGGTAGCCTCCATATCGTCAACTTTCACCTCCTCCCCGTCCTCTCCCACCCTCAAGTTCTGCAATCCTTCTTCAACATTCGCTACGTCCTGTTGCCGGCTTCGCTCTGTTACACGTTACTCGTCGGAGATTGGAATGTGTGAGAGGAAGGCGAGACGCGTTTCCTCGATGACGCCGGTGAGGTGAAGGCCCCCAGCTATACCAAAATCCTTCCGTTTCGTAAGTTGTTCCCTGGGTGCGCTGGGGTTTCTCAGGACGACTTCACGCACAGATAAGAGCTTGCCACAGGTATCAACCACAGTCGCATTGACAGAATGTCTTCACACCGACCCTCCCATTACCTACTTGACGTCTCCGGCCACAGCGGGGCGATGTGGAAGATGAAGGCGCGAGCGACCACGTGCAATTGTTCTGCTCGTTCAGGACCTTTTGCCCGACCTCATCCTCCAGGATTCCAAACTGGTCTTGCAGGCGCTCCAAGATTCAGGAGATTTCTGCGGAGCTGTCCGACGGATTCCTGAGCAGCCCAAGTCCAGGGGTTGCTCTCGAGCAGGTGAAAGATTTCACATATGCCGCAGTGCAGCGCATCGAGTTCGTAAACATGTTGACGAACATGAAGCTCACACCCTACATGCACATGTTGCATGTTGTGCGAAACTTGTTCGGCACGGTCGTCACCAGAGGCTCCAACATGTGTCTAGCTCTTCAAAAGCATGCTTCACATCATATGGAAGGCCACCATACGACCGTATACGTTATATACTTCGTGCGCCCACACTCCTACGCAACGGGCATGATCTGGAGCATTGGTGGACGAACTGGAGTGCATGTCGCGCGCACTTAGGCGCACTTATGGGATAAGATCTGGAACAGCGTAAACTTGCACATTTTTCAGGGCCCCGTTCCCACATGCGTAGCTGTAGCTGACACTTCGGGCAACGTTCATCCTGATCCAAACGTCAGCGCGCAACCGCGTGGGGCATCGAGGCAACGTGTTCCGCCCTTGCGCCGCCGAGCCTCGGTTTGTCGACTTCTTTCTGCATCTCGTAGAGGCCATGAGTTGTGAAGACCACCCGTGAATCTACTGCACGCATCGGATGTTTCCGTGGAGGGTGACTCTGGATCGATTCCTGGACTTCCTGGGAAAGCGTCGGAACACCGCCCCCTGGTCGCAGTGGAACCCCTTACCCCGCCTGGATCTTCGTCACAACTGGGGCCGAGGCTACTGGTTACCGTCTTTGCGAGCACCCGCGGTGGCCCTCGCGCGCGGGCAGTGACGAGTAGGCGGTGGCCCCTTCGTCTTGCGCTCGGCCTTGGCTTTGGCGCGCGTGTCAAACAAGGGCCATTGCTCCGCAAGTCTGGGGTCATCATCCGCCTTATCATCCTCCTCTGTTTCCTCCTCCTCAATTTTTTTTGAATTCGCAATAATTCCTCCCTGTCGCGCCCCGGAACGGGTCGGTAGAGCGGGCTTGGCGTTTCGCCTGAGACTTCCTCTCAGGCTGTGGTCACGAAGCTTGATCTGTGCAAGCGTCTCACGGATGAAGCGAAGGTCGTTTTCAACAAGTGTGTCTCGCCTCGGCGCCACGTTTTTTGTCCAACCATTTGTTGTTGGGTCCTCGTTTTGACGAGACAGCGCCCCGCGTCCCACGTCCTCCTCTCCTCTCCCTCTCCTCTCCTCATCCTCCCCTCCCCCCTCCTCCATCGTCATCAGCATCATCATCATCGCCGACACCACCGTAATCATCATCATCGCCGTCATCATTACCATCATTGTCATCATGATCGCATTCAGCATCACCATCACCTCCACCAATTACGGCGCACCCCTCACACTCTGCGTGGCCCCATGCGCAGCTCCACCGAAGGCACCAGTGGCGGTGTTCGCATGCGCCTCCCCCGCCCAGCAAAGCGGTCCGTGGCCCCAAATGGAGCTCCACCGAAGGTCCCACTGGCGGTGGCATGCGTCTCCCCCACCCAGTACAGCGCTTCGTGGCACCATCGGGAGCTCCACCGAAGGCACCACTTGCGGTGTTCGCATGCGTTTCCTTCGCCCAGTGCAGCGATTCGTGGCCCCAGTGGGAGCTCGACCGAAGGCCCCAATGGCGGTGTTCGCTTGCTTCTCCCCCACCCAATACAGCGCCGCGTGGCACCATAAGGAGCTCCACCGGAGGACCCAGTGGCGGTGTTCGCATGCGTCTCCCCCACCACGTGCAGCGCTTCGTGGCCCCATCGGCAGCTCTACCGAATGCCCCAGTGGCGGGGTTCGCATGCGTCTCCATCACCCAGTACAGCGCTTCGTGGCCCCATAGGGAGCCCCGCCGAAGGCCTCAGTGGCGCTGTTCGCATGCGTGTCCTCCGCCCAGCAAGCAAAGCGACCCGTGGCCCAATGGGGAGGTCCACCGAGGGACCCAGTGGCGGTGTTCGCATGCGTCTCCCTCACCCACTGCAGCGTTTCGTGGCCCAACAGGGGCCCTCTGGAACGCTTCAGTGGCGGCGTTCGCAGGCGTGTCCCCCGCTACGTGCAGCGCTTCGTTGCCCCATAGGCAGCTCCACCGAAGGCCCCACTGGCGGTGTCCGCATGCGCCTCCATCACCCAGTACAACGCTTCATGGCCCCATGGGGAGCTCCACCGAAGGCCCCAGTGGTGGTGCTCGCACGCGTTGCCAACACCCAGATAGCGAGTCGTGGCCCCAAAGGGAGCTCCACCAAAGGCCCCCGTGGCGGTGTGCTCATGCGTTTCCCCCATTCAAAGTCGAGTGCTTCGCTGCCCCAACAGGAGCTCCACCGCAGGCCCCAGTCGCGGCCCCGCTTCATTGCGGCGCACCCCATCATTCGTTTCGCGGCCCAATAGTGAGCGCCACATAAAGCCCCAGTGGCAGCGCCCACAAGGCGGCCCCGCCTCAGATATCCTGCGAACGCGATGCCCACAACGACGGCATTCACACTTGCATATGGTTGGGTCTTTCGCCAGGATAATTCAAGTCTGCTGGAGCTTCACGGCTCGCGTTCGTTTTAAACATTTGTAAAAGGTTCGCGGATGGTGGGTGGATCCGTTTCAAAATGTGGTTATCCCGCCAGTGCCGCGCACACTTGTATGAATTACGTACAGCAGTTTCGAGAGTTCTTATGGCGGGCATCCCAGCAATCACAAGTTCGGGTTGTCAGGTCGCGACAGTCACGTTGACTCGCAATGTTGACATCCCAGAAATTGTGTTCTGTCACGACTTAGCATCGTCAGCTCGCAACTGTAACGTTGATTCGCGGCGCTGAAGTCTCAGGAATGATGCTTCGGCACGGTTGAAGGTTTTCAGACGGCTGTTTTCCGACGGGGCTCTTCCCACAGTGGACATGTATCTTTTTAGGAGCCTATGCAGAGGGATCTCGGTGGGAGGGTTTATTGCCAAATCGTTGATCGGTCTTGGGTTTGCAGTGGTCCTCCTCCTCCTCCTCCTCCTCGTTCCTCTCTTCCTCCCTCCCCCATCCTCTAACCACCTCCATCGTCCTCCCTCCTCCTCATCGTCCAACCTCCCTCCTTCCTCCCTCATCCTCCCTCCCTTCCCTCCCCTCCCCCCTCCCCCCCCCTCCCTTCCTCCTACCTCCGACCCCCCTCGCTCCTCCCTGAACACACCCCCCTCTCATCCCCCTTCCTCCCCTCTTCCTCCCAGGGGATGCCGATCCGCGACGCGCGCGCCGTGCTCCTGCTGTGCAGCCAGCGGGCGGACCCCGGCCAGGCCGACCGGCACGGCCGGACGCCGCTGGACATCGCGCGGAAAGCTGGGGGCGACCCGTCGCTGCTGGAGTTCCTGCAGGAGAAGGGTCGGCGGAACGTCTTCGTGTCGGGCCCTTCCGTCGGCTCCTGGAGGGAATTTCCTTCGAGCAAGAAAGCACGGAATAAACCTAGAGGTTCGACGGTTCGCGCGGATTTCTCGGATCGGCGCCTGGACCCCCCTGGCGGCGCCTCCGGCGGAGGGGGTCCAGCTCAGATCCAAGAAACCCGCGGGGAGCCCCGAAAGTTTATGCTTATGCCGTTTTCTCTTCCTCCAAGGGCAAGAGGCCGGTCGCACGTTTTCGGACGTCTGCGTCGGTTCCTGAAGGTTCTCCCGCTTCAGGATGCGTCCCAGCATCTGCGCCTCGCCGAAGGCATTCCGAAGGCGCCCGGATCGTCCCCGAACGGCCGCCAGGGACCCGAGCTGCGATTCGAAAGCCGAGCGGCCCTCCGCCGGAGCTGCCGGTGGCGCGCGGCTTGCGGGGAGCGCGCGGGGGCCCAACCCGGGCGCGCAGGCCGCCACTGCCAAGCGCACGCAGCGACGGGCAGGCCGCGCACCCGAGGCACTCCTGCCTGGGGTCGCGCTCGCGCGCAGTCGCGAGCCAGGGGGCGCCCAGCGTGCGCTGGCAGGCGCTCCCACCGGGCAGCGGGGGGGGCGGGGCCCGGAATGGCCGCCCGCGGTTGTCGCCAGGACGGCGGCAGCGGCGACGACGCGGTCGGGAAGAGGGCCGCCCTCGCCACCAAGATCCTGGAGATCGGCCCGCTCAAAAGCTTGAGGTGGAGGGGGGGAGCCCAGGGTCAGGGCAGGTGCGTCCCGCAGGGACGGTGCGGCTCCTCCCCCGTTCCCGTCCTCGTCCTCCTCTCCCCCGTTCTCCTCCGCCGAGGCCCAGGCAGAGCGGCAGATCTTCGCCCCGTGGTGGAGCCTAGCCTGACGAAGCGGGCTCCCGGGCCCAGGGCGGTCCCCCGGCTCAGGGAGACGTGCGGGAGAGGGGTCGAACTGAGCAGGAGAGGGGGGGAGGGGAAGAGGGGGGAGGGAGAAGAAAGGAGGAGCAGGAGGAGGGAGGAGAGATGAGGAGAGGGAGGAGAGAAGAGGAGGAAGAGGGAAAAGGGGGAGGAGGCAGGAGGCAGGAGGCAGGAGGGGAGATGGGGCACAAGGGAGGAGGAGCAGGAGGAGCAGAAAGAGGGAGGAGGAGGAGGAGGAGGAGGAGAAGGAGGAGGAGGGAGGAGAGACGAGGAGGAAGGGGAGGATGAGGAGGAGGCAGGAGGAGGGATGGGGCAGAAAGGAGGAGGAGGAGGAGGAGGAGATAGAGGAGATAGAGGAGATAGAGGAGGAGGAGGAGGAGGAGGAGGAGGAGGAGGAGGAGGAGGAGGAGGAGGCAGGAGGAGGCAGGAGGGGCAGGAGGAGGCACAGGAGGAAGGGGGCTGGGGCCAGCGGGTACCCCAGCGGAGGAACACGATGAATCCCTACGCCGGCCGACTGTGCGGCTGATGAGGGGAATCTCGGGCGTGCGAGTCGCGTTGAGGACAAACAACACGTTGGCGCGCACCGCGTTGATCTGAGAGCATGTCCCCGCTGGCCTGCGGGAGAGCACCGGCGGAGCCCCTCCCCCAGGCGCCAGGGGGAGAGACGCTTGGGCCCCCAGGATCTGAGGAGCCTCTCCCCCCAGGAGACGAGGAGCCTCGCCCGTGGGCGGGGGCGGGGAGGAGCCCGTGAGGACGGACGAGAGGCCCCGTAACACGAAATGATGACGCCACCATGCTTGCCAGCACGGATGCATGATCCTTCGGACCATGCCTGCCAGCAAGGACACCACCATGCTGTCTCCTTGTCCAAGTCCATCGCGCCAGCAAGGATAGGTACATGATTTGCGCGGTCCCAAGTGTTGTCAAAGTTCCCCAGGCAGTGCTTGCACTTAGGCGTCCTTACTTCCCTTCTAAGGAACTGGGCCCGTGCGCGGCCCCGGCGGCCTCGTTCCCGCCCGTCGCCGTACCCACTTGTCCTGATAGGGGGCCCGTTTGGGGACCTAGCGGCCCCGTTCCTGTCTGTCGCCGCCGCCCTCTTGCCCCCCCCCCGTTCCCCCCGTTACACTGCAATCGCATCGCATGGCAATCACATTGCAGCAAGTTGCTTTACAATCGCAGCACATTGCAATTGCATTGCATTGTATTGCCTTGTATTGCGTTGCATTGATTTGCTTTGTTTTGTATAGCTTTGTAGCGATTTGCACCACATGGGTTGCACGACCGAGACAACCGCCTGGATTGCACCGTTTCGGAGGTTGGGGGGTGAGATCGCAGTGGAACGCAGACCCCCAACCAGGAAATTGTTTCGTGTCGTGCGTACGGGCGAGGCGAAGCTGCGTGGGCGCGCGAGAGGAATGAACCCGCCGCTGCTAGGGCGAAGTCAAGACAAATTCTCCCCCTCCCGCCCGTCCGGCGGTGGCCCGCGGTGTCCCGTGGTGTCCCGTGGTGTCCGCCGTTGCGAGGGCGAAGTCAAGACAAATGATTCTCCCCCGCCCGCCCGTCCGTCCGTCCGTCCAGCGGTGGATCGCGTTGTCACGCGGTGTCACGTGGTGTCCCGTGGTGTCCCGTCGAGTGAGATCGATAGTGAGATCGATACTGAGATCGATGTGGTGCCCCGAGGTGTTCCGTGGTGTCCCAAAAAGTGAGATCGATAGTGAGATCGATAACCAGATCGACAGGTGTCCCGTGGTGTCCCGTAGTGTCCCGTTGAGTGAGGTCGATAGTGAGATCGATACTGAGATCGATGTGGTGCCCCGAAGCGTCCCGTGGTGTCCCGTGGTGTCCCAAAAAAGTGAGATCGATAGTGAGATCGATAGTGAGATCGGCAGGTGTCCCGTGGTGTCCCGTGGTGTCCCGTCGAGTGAGATCGATAGTGAGATCGATGGTAAGATCGATGTGGTCTCCCACGGTGTCCCATGGTGTCCTATGGTGTCCCGCTCAGTGAGATCGATAGTGAGATCGATAGTGAGACCGATAGTGAGATCGAGAGGTGTCCCGCGGTGTCCCGTGGTGGCCCGTGGTGTCCCGTGGTGCCCAATTGAGTGAGATCGATAGTGAGATCGATCGTGAGATCGACAAGTGTCCCGTGATGTCCCGTGGTGTCCCGTTGAGTGAGATCGATCGTGAGATCGATTGAGTCAGATGTTGGTTCCCCCCTCTTCCCCTCCCACAATCTCCTTATCATCCGAAGGGTGGTCGTATAGGTAGGTTATACAAAAACGTTGGTTGGGGGCCACGCTGGCGAACATGTCGTTCTGATGGGATACTGGTTGGATATGAGACCAGAGCAGCAGAAGCGTACAACGAGCTACACCATTACGCTTAGAAGGAACAATGTTGCCACATGTTGCATCGTTGTCTCGAGTTCCTGTGGATTCGATCGCGTTGAAAAAGTCCGATGCACATCTACATACGGTTACACAATGAAGCAATGCGACGCACAGCAACGCAGCAAACGCAATCCAGTGCAAACAAAGCAGACCAAGGCAAAGTAGTTCAGATCAAAGCAACGCAAGGAGGCCCAAGCAGACCGAATCAAATCACGCATCGCAGCGCAGGTCAAAGCGACGCGAAGAGCGGCTAAGCACATCAACGAAGTTCTTACGCAGTGCAAAACATGCGAAACAGAGTAAGCCATGCCAAAACACAGCGAAGAAGATCGCATGTGCTCGGCGTCCAAGCTTACGTTGTGATTCACTGAGTGATTCACAACTGCGCCATGTAGATCTTCTCACGAACTGCGTCGTTGTGCAGCGCGAGTGGCTAGTAACACAGCTGCGGTATGTACTGTGACTGGTTTTAAAATAGCGGAGTCTTGTAGCGCGTGTCGCTTGTTAAAACACCAGCCGCTAGTATCGGGATGTTCGCCTGATTCGAACCAGACGTTGGCTGTTTCCCCCTTGTTCAACTGTTCCCGCACCGAGTCCGTAACAAATGCTATGCGTCGTTGTGCGAGCCCAGGGTTTTGTATCGGGCTTGGCAGGCTGCGTAAGGCGGCGCGTGCGTTTGGCAGTCGAACAGGAGAGATGCGGTGCTGTGCGAGTTCACTGACGACTTTCTCTTCCCCCCTCTCCGAAATATTGTTCTGTTTTTGTGCAAAATCACAAGACAGCTCGCCGCTTGGGCCCCACCGCCAGCCGAAACGGCGAGCATAAAACGGACAGATCCCCGCACGCATTCGAATGCCCACACTTCGTCCTCGTACTACTCGTATTCCTCCCCGTCCTCCTCCCCATCCGGATCGTCGTCGCCGTCCTCCTCGTCCTCATCCTCCTCCTCTGCCTGGACATCTTCCTGCTCCAGCTCCTCCTCGCCGTCCTCGTCTAGGAATTCGTCCTCGTTTCTCCGATTCCTCTTCCTGCTCATCCTCCTGCTCCTGGCACCTCGGTGGCCGAGAATAAAACCGTCTCCTATCGGTTGCGCCATAGTTTGCGCCCTCGGCGGCCGAGAAGAATACCGTCTCCGATCGGTCGCGCCACAGGTTGCGCCCTCGGCGGCCAATAATAAACCCGTCCCCTATCGGTTGCGCCATAGGTTGCGCCCTCGGCGGCCGAAAATATAACAGTCTCCTATCGGTTGCGCCCTAGGTTGCACCGTCGGCGGCAAAGAGTAAAACCGTCTCCTGTCGGTTGCGCCATAGGTTGCGCCTTTGGCGGCCGAGAATGAAACCATCGCGTCACGGGTGCGACCAGTCTGTTCAGTTCAATTCAGGCAGTTTACCTCGCGAGGAACAAATTCGGGCTACGCCCGTGCTATGAAAGTCAATGAAAGTCACGGCACGTTAACCAATGCAACGCAATGCTATGCATTACGATGTAGAGCATTTCAGAATAATGCAGCGTCAAACTATGCGAAACAAAGCGAGGCAAAGTAAAGCAGCGAATTATCGTTCGAGGCAACGTGAATACTGCGACGAAGTGAACGTCACATCAAAGTGGGACAAAGCATTTCAAAATGGATATTGTAAAGTGATGCGATGCAATGCAAAGCGGCACAAATGAACGCGACTTTCGGCAGGAACATGCACGGCAAATCAAAACCATGCCGTTCAACGACGCACAACGCATTTCAAACCATAAAAGGCAAGCAGCTCAAAGCAAAGCAACACAACGCAATGGACATCAAAGCAATGCGAGGTAAGGCAACACCACACTGGAAACATACGACGCATTGCAACGCATTGTAAACCAATCCACGTCAGGGCGATGCAAAGCACAACGAGACGAGGCAACGCGCAGCGCTGCAGGGCAACCGCTGGGCGAAGCCGAAGCGAGAGGGAGGCGAAAGCAATGCGAAATCAAGGGGTCGACGGCCTGTAGGGAGGCTCCCAAGGAACCGGGGGGGGCAAGTCCCCAGACTAGGCGGTCCAGAAGAGGCGCTGCCTTCGGCGCGCCTCGCCTTCGCCGGAAGCCAGCGGAAGTAAACGAGGGCGCCTCCGCTGGCGGAGGCTGGCGGAAGCTCGGCGGACATGGGCGATAGGGGAAGCGACAGGTCAATAGTTTCGGATTCAGGATTTCGGGAATCGGCCAGATGAAGCGCCGAGCGCACCACCCCCCCTGGGCCCAGGAGCCGGGTGCGGTCACGGAGGGCCACCGGGCTTTCTCTCTTTGCTCTGGCGCGTAGCAAGTAGATCGTACGATGTCCGAGGAGGGCGCACGAGGAGTTTTTCCCCCGCCCTCCACCGCGGCTCCTCCTTGCCCTCACTGTTACCTCCCACCCGCCCCGCGCTGCCATTGGGGAAGAAATTTCGCCTACAGGAGGGAAGCCAGGAGGGGAGGCGCCTCGCCTTGGGGGGGGGCGGAGCTGTTGAGTGGAAAGGGAGTGGAGGAGAGGAAAGCGGAGAGGGAGGGGCGGGGAGGGGAGGGGAGGGAAGGTGCCCGCCCGTGACAAGGCACGCAGGAGTAGTTTTCTCTGAGCCGTTTCGATGGATCCTCCTTGTCCCGATTGCCTCGATGAACCCTGGCTACCACCGCAGGAAAGGGTCAGACACCTCCCCCCGCCAGGAGAGCCGCTTCAGCCCCCGGGAGTGGGCGGCGGATCCAGAGCAGGCCGCGGGGGAACAGAAGCCGCACGAGCCACCCAAGGGTCCTGGAAGAGAGAGGGAGGGAGGGAGGGAGGAGTGGGAGGGGGAAAATGAGGAGGAGGAGGAGGAGGAGGAGGAGGAGAGTCATAGTGAGAGCGTCCAAACATTAATTCACCAAGCTGAGTCCCCCCCAGAACTTCTCCAGCGGCGCGGGGAAAAGGAGGAAGGTGGCGACGAAGTGATGCCTTTGCATGCTGTTTGTAATCGGAGTGAGCGGCGACAGCCAGCGGATGAAGACCGTGTCCAAGCAGGGGACGTGATTCCCACGTACACTATGAACGAAACCACCACAAGATTGCCCATGCCTGCCTGCACCACTGACTGAGAACACATCGTAGCGCACATTTTGACCAGGAGGATGGAAGATGCAGGGCGGCAGCTTGCCGATCACCAGAGTTCTCACCGAAGTTGACCGCTATCACACAGTAACATGTGAGAATAACTGTGCCCATCAATAAGGAAGTTGCAGAGCGGTACAACGCATCCCATCTAGCCAGAACGTTCAAGTACGCTCAGGCGGCAGGGAGGAGCCCGTGGAAGCTACGACCTGCAGCCTGGGGGACCCTTGACGAACATGATCGTGAAGGGAATGAAAACAAAAGGGCCCACGATTGGTACGTATAACACTTTGCCCACGGCGAAAACCAGCCTGACTCTTTGCCGAATTCCGTCACCGCGAAATGGTCCCACATACCAGATGCGCCGGCCAGCCACGATGTCCCTCAAGCACCGCGTGGAGGCGCAAGGCATAACGCCAAGGACGTGCCGGGTTAAGCCAATACGCTTATGGAATGCCTCGGGCCGATGCTTGAGAGGGGGAGGGGGGAGGGGGAGGAGGGAGGGGAGGAGGGAGGGGAGTTGTGGATGAGCTGGAGAAGGAGGAGAGAGGAGAGAGGGCAAGCTGGGCGCGCTCGCGCCATATCAAACATACTACCCCTTCCACCCGTCGCTTCACATCACGCTGGTGTCTTCTCTATCCGCCGACGCGTGTCGTAGCGGACCTGAGACTCTAGAAAGGACCCCAAGGCCCAAGGTGTTATGCGCAATCGGAGAATAGGGGCGCTACGTACATTGAAGGAGAAGGTAGCGGATGGGCATGGGTATGAGCACGAGGAGAGAGGAGGATGGGGAGGGATAAGGATGAGGAGGAACAGCAGCAGCAGGAGTTGGAGTAGAGGGAGCGGGAGGAGCATGAGGACCAGGGGAAGGTGGATGAGGGGAAGGAGGGGGGCGACAGCGATGAGGAAAGACTCGGATCCAGAAAGTATTGGCCCGCGCTGGGGCGATAGCGCCCACCTGAACGATGGGAGCACAGCGCCGATCCTGACATGAGGCCCATGCTGCGGCGGCAGCACCAAGCTGTGACAACCGAATAAGGTCCGATTGAACATGCAAACTTTGAACTTTGAAAGGGTGAACTTGAACAGTCCAATGGAAAGTCCAACGTTTGAACTTCTGCGGGTGAGAGAACACTACGCGCAGGGATGCGGGCTGCTCCCCGGCCATCTCTGGGGGAGAGAGGAAAATAGTAGTTAAACTAAGTGTAGAGGGCAAGGTCGGGTCGGCCGCGCCGTATCTGACATCCTACCACTCCCACCCCCCATGTCGCATTGCGATGAGCTCGTTTTTCACTATCCGACGACGGGTGCCACGGCGGATCTGGAACACCCAAAACGATACCATCGTGTCATGTACAACGGAAAAACGGGAGTTGTGTACAATAGAAGGGGAGGATGAGGAGGATGAGGAGGAGGAGGAGGACCAGGGACTTGCAGCAAGACCCTCCAACCTCAGCACCTCTGTACAGCCTCCAACTGCTATGTGCCGCAACCAGTTCTAGCAATTCATCTTCTAGCCATTTAATTGTGGCAGCCACTTCCGCCTATCCCTTGCTATTTGCATGCCCGCTGTCCCGCAACTTGCCTCAGCCGCCCTCCGCCCGCCGCAGCCTCGAGTCTCGCAGCCGCGACCCAGCCACGGGGGGATGGGGGCACAGTGGAGAAGGATGATCATATCAAACAGCCACTCTTCCGCTGGCCGCCTTGGCATTGGCCAGGGCAGCCGCGGCCCGCAGTAAGGCCCTCCAAACTCCGCATCTCTGTGCAGTAGCTAACTGCCACTTGCCGCGTTCGGTTGTCACGGCTTGTCCTCTACACTCTCCGCCTCGGCAGCCACTTCCGCCTGCATCTTCTCTGGGCCGCCACTTGTCTCATCAAGTCCTTTTCCAGCCCCCTTCTCTCACAGACTTTCGCCTGGCGCCGCACTTTCGCACAGCCAACCGCGGGGGGGGGATCATGCAGGCCGCGGAAGAGGAGACTGACCGCCCATGCTACCGCCAGCCGCCTGGGCATTTTGGCGTTGGCCAGGGCAGCCGCGGCCCGCAGAAAGGCCCGCCAAACTCCCTATCCCTGTTCATTGGCGAACTGCAGCTTGCCGCACCCAGGTGCCACAGCTCATCCTCTAGGCTTTCCACCTCGGCAGCCACTTCCGCTTGCATCACTGCTGCGCCGCCATTTGTCTGGTCAAGTCGTTTCCCGGCGCTCTGGTGACACCAACCTCAGCCGAACACCACATGTTCGTGCCGCCAACCATGGGGGTGGGATCAAGCTGGGTTGGAGGAGAGGTTACGCCAACCGTGGCCACTGCCACTGGAAGGTGCACAGTTCGCCCGCCTGGCGGGTGAGGGTCCCCTTGGGGGGATGGAGGTCGTCTCAGTGGGCTTACTATGGGAGGATGGGGAAAGGCCCTTGCGCCTTCCCACTCCGGACGTGCGTTGGCCACGGAACCGACTGTCGCATTGTCAGCCGCAAACCCCTTTGCCGCAGGGCCAGCCCTAGTCCAACTTCACGCATACTTCTGAGGCCCCCCCCGTCCCCCCACTCCCAGGGCGCTGGGGACATGGCTACCCCGCTCACAGGGGGTGAGCTGGTCGCTTCCCATTTCGTTGTTGCAAACCGTAGCTTGATCAACCTACCACAAGGGCGACCGCCCCTGGGGGGAGGCAACGTCACGTCTGACATGGACGCCACCAGCGCCGAGCGCCGATGAGGAGGGAGAATTATAAGAGGAGGAGAAGGAGTAGGAGGAAGAGAAGGACGTGGCGGACGAGCAGGGGGATGGGCATGAAGAGTACAAGGAGAATGAGGGAGGAGGTGGGCGAGGAGGAACAGCAGCAACAAGAGCAGTGGCGAGAGGAGCTGGAAGGGCAGGAGGAACGGGGGAAGGCGGAGGAGGGGAAAAGAACGGGGAGACCACTACGAAGAAATATTCAGATCCAGAAAAGTTGCCCACACTGGGGCGGGGGGGGCCATTCTGAACGACGGGCGCAAGCGCCGATCCTGGAACGAGGCACACGCTGCAGCCTGAGCACCAGTGTGAAGCACCGAGAACGTTCCGGTTGGAACAAAGACATGGATTATACACACATGCACAAATCTTGCTCGTAGATAGACAATTCCCCGAGTCAGAGAGAGAGTGAGAAAGAGAGAAAGCGAAAGAGAGAAATAATACCATCGACTAGCACTCATATTGGGTAACTGTGGAAGGCGGACCACCAGGCTGACCAGACGGGAGCACGGGCCATCTCATGAGCCGCTCATCCAATAAGATCTAGCGGGGGGTGGGACGCGAAGCGTCTAGGCTATAACACGGTCAACCATTAAGGAGGTTGCCCGATGTGGGATGCCGCCCCACCCTGATGGCAGAAATGTTATGATGTTGTCTGCACCCGGTGGCTCGAGCCGACAAGTTGGCTACTCTACCTTGGGTCGCCTGGTACGAGCTACATATGGTGCAGACCATGGCCGCGTGCGTCACCAAAACCTGGTGCCCATGGAACTCGGCAGTATCTTCAACGGGCACCGACACCCCCTCGCGGACCAAGCTCGCCTCATCGCCAGCCACACAAGGCATGGAAACATTAGCAGCTTCAAGCGTAGCCTTAACCGTTGCCATGCGCAAGGGTGAGGCCCCTTGCAACTTCACATCTGTCCAAGCCCTGAGCCTCGGCTAGGCCGTGGGCTGAGAGGACCCTTGGAGCAGTTTGACTAAGCCAGAGGGGGCCCTGGGCTGAGACACGCATTGTTTTCACTGGCTCATACTAAGGACCATGATGGTCATACTATGTTCAGTAGTCCCCACGTGCCTGGGGGGAGGGGCTCACGATAACCACGTGCGGGGCGGCCAATCAGTGCATCACGGTACGCCATGCGACATGCACACCATGAAATGAACCGCGTCTGCAACTTAGCGTCCGACAAGTGCCCTTCGCAGGAGTTGGCCAATGCATCCGCCAGCTCGTGAGCCATAGCCCTCCTTTTCGAACTTCTGTCCGCCCCAGCGCTCCCGAGGTAGTACTCCCAAGAGTGTTGGGCGCGCGAAAGAAATTCCTCCGCTTCCTCGTGTGCAGGGCACCAATAAAAGTCGGGCGGCGTCCGCTCCTGTGTGGAGGCAAATATGTTCCTCCGCAAGTCTGCATACTGCGCCTTGGCGTCGGAGTGAACTTCGCGCCGCCCTTTACCTCAGCCGCGAGCGAGGAGAAGTGCGACGCCACAAGTGAGACCTTGGAGAGTAACCTGAGCGCTGCGAGAAGAGCCGCAAGTTCAACTCGTCCCACTGTCTGAATGGGTCCTCCAAGGGGCCCACACGCAACGCGGAGATGAAGAGCATTATCGCCTAGCTGACAAAACTCCCATTCACAGCGTCTCAGTTTTGGCCATGACGGGGCCACACCAGGCCCATCATCAGTGTGTATACGAGGGACGACCACATGGTTTGACCCGGGCCCCAGCCGCCCCACAGTCTCACATCGAGCCTTCTGGAGACCGTGGGAGAAAATTGAGGACACAAAGGCATACAGACACAAACATCGAGCATTTCCCAGTCCGGGCCAGTCAGCCGCTGGGACACCCTTTTCACGTAGATGCTCGTACACGTGATTCATCTTGGGGCCCCAGGGGAGGTCCTCGTCATTCGTGTCGTCGCGAAGGCAAGCACAGGCAATCGAATCGTGCCCCAGAGCGGCACGAGCAGCTCCGCACCGGGGGGCACGCCGCAGCTTCACCACATCCAAAACTCGGTGCTGGCGGCCTCGAGCCCGGCTGCCTCCAGCCCAGAGAACACGAAGCTCGCCCGCAGAACGCGGGTGCTTGACGGCCGCCTCGGCTCCACCGGAGCACCTGCCCCGAGCTCGAAGCCAGAGTTCTACGCATTGCTCATGTCTAATTATTCGAACGTTCTTTGCTTTTTGGGGGGCCAAGATTATTTCGTTTCTAATCATTATATCCTGGGCCTCTTCCTGGCCACTAGGGGGCCCGGAACAAATAGAAACGAGCACAACTAGAAATGAGCAAGATTAGAAATGAACGACGTGTACGCTACCATAACCAATCTCGGTGCTGCTCCAGCATCATCCTTGCCTGCCATCTCTCAACTCCTCGGCGTGCCAATTCACGCGCCAACTTGGGAGATACCTGCCAGAGATCAGCGATCAGGTTCTGGCCATCCTCGACCAGAGTACCACACGGTATGCTCCAACCAATACGATCTAAACTTAGCCGTAGTACCTCAAGAGGCTCACGAACTCCAGCCCAAGACATCTGTTCCTGGACCTCATTGTTGAGGGCCCACCAGGCCCGTTGAAGCCTACCCAATGGCACACGCTGGCCCCGAACGAAACTGAAGTAGGTAATGAGGGGCTCCATCGTGGCGTGGTAGATTGGGTCGTACATCCTGTCCTTCTGAGCGGCGGGGTGGAGGGTGAGGGAGGCGCTGCCCGACGAGCGCCCGCACAGCATGCCAATGATCTGTCTCATGTTGGCGGGTCCCTTGGGAGACGCACCAGCCGCGGCCACTCCATGACCGACAGAAGGGAGCAGGCCAGTGCGCCACAAAGCTGCTCCCTTCGTTCCCGCTCCACGGAGCAGCATACGTAATCTTGTAAGATTGGCAATCGATTCCGAAGTTTCGGCGACCGAGCGACGGCTTGCTTGCGAACAGGACGAACCATTGGCACGCCGTGTCCGAGATGTCGAAGCCACGTCTTCGCTGCGAGCCGAAGTCGATACGCCTTGGATGCATCCGTATGTACTCGACCGATATGTTCCACGAAAACGTCTGCGATGCCGTCTGGACATCCCCCACCGTGATGAAAGGAAGTTTCTCTCATTCAGCAGTCTTTTTTTGACAGCTCCGCACATTTAGTGTCACGACATGCATGGCATGTCCATCCCTCCCTCCGTTTCCACACATGTTCGCCCGCCATCAGGCATGGCTGCGTGCGCACTGTATGGGACATGCTAGCAGACATGGCCATGACTCGCGAGGCCTGTGAGCCAAAGGCTCCGTTCAAGAAAGCCGACCCGGTCAATTCTTTCAATGGCTTTACGCTTTCCTTGATCCTCTCCTGGGTGAAATCATCAGCTCTCTCACCAAGTGCTGTCTGTTCAAACTCGGGGTTCGCTAACGAGTGCATGGCGGCCTGAGAAAAGGACTTGGACTGATCGCCCAATAATTCCAGCACCTCTCCCTCGGTCAAAATACGTCGGTAGAAGCCCATCGGCTGCTGGATGGATCTGGCCAGTCGGGCAGCAGGTCGCGTGTCATTCATGTCATGTTGCATGTACCCATGCCTGCCCCGCCGTTTCTTATTGATATGCACCCATCCCTCTTCAGCTCGCCTTCTCAGCCATTACAGCTGATGTCCAAGGTGAGGTGTAATCTGGCAGCCTGATCGTGCTCCTCGTCATGCCTTGGTCATTCCGATAACCATTAATCGTATTGATCCAAAGCGTTCGCACTCGAATGACATGCTTGGACCCTCTGGCTGCTGCGATCCAAGCTCTGGCAACTGGGCCATCTGCAAACCAACTGTGGTTGATGTCCCACCTTGCCTCTACGAACTTGGCCTTGACGGGTCATCCTCGACCGACGTACGGCTTTTCAGTCAGGCCCACGAGGTTTTGTCTTTGTAGCAGATCTTGTTCTACACCCGAGAATACGAGGTCCCATGCATGCCGAAGCTCCGTTTCCTTACTCCTCAGTGTCATGCTAAGGTATCGGTGCACGCGCACAACATCCGACATGCAGTCCTTTAGGCACCCCTTTCAGTTCGGCAGGAACGCGCAGCCATACCTCACGATGCGGAGGGGGAGGAGGAGGACAAGGAGGAGTGTTCGGGCGTAAAGCAGGCCTGCTGGATTTCAGCGCTCTTTCTTGTCACCTCCTGCCTCCATCGCAATTCTTCTTTGTCGTCCCTCATCCGTGTCGTCCGTCTCGTTCTTTTCCCTCGCTTCCTCCTCCTTTTCCTTCTTCTCTCTTTCCTCCTCCTCGTCCCTCCTTCGCATAGTCCGTCGCCCCCTCCTTCTAGAGGAGCGCTGGGATTTCGGGAACGCTTTCAGGAAGACCAAGCGAAACAACGAGTAACCTTTTGGGAAGTATACAGGGCGGCAATCACGACGACCGATGGGCGACCCCGCTGTAGCCTCAACAACAACAGCAGAAGCAACAACAACACAACAGCAACAACAGCAACACTAACAACAACAAACAACACACGACTACACTTACAGCCAAATGGTGACCTTGCATTTGATGTGGCAATGTCGTTGCTCTGTTGTTTACTTGTTTCCCTGAAGGTGTTCCCAACATGTCTGCCACAAGCGCTTTGGATTCTCTGGTGTTTACAGTGCTGTATTTGTTCTGCGGGTGGTCCCAACAATCTGCGACTCGTATGGATCCCGCCTCACCGCGGAGTCGACCATCAAAGGTTGGTGTTGTCGTTGGGTTCTTTATTTGGTTTGGTTGCGTTGGTGCTCAGGAAGGTGCTCCCAAAGTTTCTGCTACCAGCGCTTTGGATGATTTGCTTTCCTTTGTTTGAAGGGCCTTCCCAAAAATCAGCCTCCCAGATTGATTCCGCCTCAGCGGTGTCGCCCGTCAGACGTTGGGGTTGTCGTTAGGATCTTTGTTTTTCTATTGTCCACAAGGTGTTCCCAAAGTTTCTGCCACCAACGCTTTAGATTATGTGTTGTTGTTGGTGTTGCTGCGAGGCGATGGGTTATGTCTTTTGTTCCATTGGCGCTCCCAAATTCCTGGCACTCCTCTACAAGAAGGAAAAGATGGAAGAGAAGAGGCGAGGGATGAGCCTCCCTCCCTCCTCCCCCCCTCCCTCCACAATTACCTATTCCCTCCTTCCCTCCCTGCCGCCCCCACTCCCCCCTCACATATGGTTCCGCAATTGCTCCCCTTCCCTCGCTCCCTCACTCCCTCCCCCCCTCCCTCCACAATTACAGTCTGCATGAATACTAGTTCCCATATCCCTTGACTTTGTCCGGAAGATGTCCCACCCTCTCCGCGTATGTTACCTTACGTTCGGTGCGGTTGATTAATAGTTTTTCTGTTTGTTTCAAACGGAATTTCCCCAGCGCTTCAACATGATGTTTCCGCTACAAGTGGGCCTCGTTCTAAGATCGGCGCCTTGCCCCCGTCGTTCAGAATGGCGCTCCCGCACTGGCGGCGCAGGACACTTTTCTGGATCTGAGTCCTTCTTCGTGCTGGTCTCCCCGTTCCTTTCCCCTCCTCCGCCTCCTCCTGGTCCTTCCGCGCCTCCCGCTCCCGCTGCTGCTGCTGCCCTTGCCGTCGCGCAGGCATCCGCCCTCCCGGTCCACGCCAGAGACGGCCCGAGCCGAGGAGCGGCCGAGGCCGCCGGGCTGGCGGAGGACGCGGCCCGCATGTCGGCGGAGAGGTCGAAGCTGGCGGAGGATCTCCTGGGCGGCGGGGTGCTCGTCCTGGCCGTTCCTCTCCGCCCATGCTGCCCGTTTCTTCCTCTACCTTCTCTGGTGCACTCTATTTCCTCCTCATCATCATCACCATCATCATCACCAGCGTCATCATCATAATTGTAGCCACCATCACCATCATCAGCATCATCGTATCATCATATCATGATTATCATCGCCATCATCACCAGCATCATCATCACCAGCATTACCACCATCAACATCACCATCATCACCAGCATCATCATCGCCAGCAACATCAGCATCGTCATCATCATCATCATCATCATCATCATCATCATCATCGTCATCATCATCATCATCATCATCATCATCATCATCATCATCTCATCACCATCATCATCATCGCATCACCAGTATCATCGTCATCGTCATCGATCTCGTCATCACACTTTTTGTCCCTTCGTAATACGACTCGTCCTCGTCATCCTGCTCTTCCTCCTCCTCCTCCTCCTCCTCATCCTTCCTCTCCTCTTCCGACGACGAGCTCTCCGTAGCCATTTTGGCTCATGCCTTTTCCGTAGGTCCCCTGCTCCTGGACCTTGTCCCTCGGCGTACCCCCATCCCGGGCGGGCGTGAGGGCCTTCGGGGGGCAGGGCTTTTGGCCCACGGAGCAAGGGATGGCACGGGCGGGGTTGCTGGACGGCGATCCTGGTGGCGATCGGCAGCGGCGGTCGCGCGCCGAGCGCACGGCCGCTCGGAAGCGGGCGCTGGTGGCTGCGGACAACGGGCTGGAGTCGGCCAGGGCCGAATGCAAGCGCCTCCGCGACCTGGTGGTTGCGGCGGAGACTGCGCTTGACGCAGTCGTAGGCTGCTGCGAGGTCGGCCAGCGCCTGCGGTCGCTCCTGCCCGCGCTGCAGGCTATGCTGCAGGGCCGCGCGCCGACGTGGATGGAGGTGCTGCGGCGCAATGTCGCCTTGCACGCCGATGCGCAGGACGTCGACGTGTCCCAGGCGGCTGCCGCTACACTGCGCACGGCCCAGCACGGGCCACGGCTGGAGATGCGGCTCTTCTCGAAGAAGGTGACGCTCCTCGAGGACGTTGTCTCGACCCTCTCAGCCGATGCCGTGCCCTTCGTGCCCGGCCAGATCTACGCGGAGTACGGTTTCCACGGCGGCGACGTCGATGAACTCCTGGCCGCGCTGGCACGGGAACGGTTGCCGCCCTTCGTGGAGGAGGGCTTCGTGCAGCTGCACTCCGAAGGCGAGCCCGAGAGCGGAGGGCAGGAGGAGAAGGAGGACGAGGAGTTCGCCGAGGACGACGCGGCTCCCGCTGCTGCTCCGCCCTCCCCTGCTGCCCACAGTCCCACCGAGCTGAAGCGCCTCGTGGATGAGGCCAAGGATCAGCTTGAGCGAGTTGCCCTCAAGATTGCACTCGGTGATGACTCTGGCGCTACCCAGCACGAGCTCGAGACGGCCGCTGACCGTTTCACAGACCTCGAGGACCTGCTGGCTTGCGCCCAGGCTGCGGCGATCGTGTACCACCCTGAGTGCGACGTCGAGGGTGATGGCACCACCAGACCATCGTGGGAAACGATCCAAGACATCCATGCGCGCCGTGCGGAGGAGCTCAGTGACCCGAGCAGTACCAGCGCTCTGCTCGCCGATGGGCTGCCATTCTATTGGCATGAGTGCCCTGGATGGCCCCATGGGGCGCGCTGCCTCTGCCCGAGGTGCCTTGAGAAGCAGGTGAAGCATGTCATCCCCTCTGGGCGGCGAGGCACCTAGGCTGCCGTGCGGGTCCGCGATTTGGCAAGATCGCTGAGTTCAGGATCGCCGAGGCCGTGTGGCGGCGCCCCAGGATCGCGAAGGTCCTCAAGCAGCCGCGCAAGTACCTCAAATGCCGCCGCGTGCAGGACAACGGCGTCCCGCACACATCGACAAGGTGGGCGTGGGCTGAGCCTGGGGTTAAACCCAGGTTCAGCCTACGCTAAGGGAAGGTCGCCCCGCGTCGTGCCCTGAGCGCGGTGCGGCGGCGGCCAAGACGGGACATTGCGTCCCTCAGCCTCCGCACTCCGCACTCCGACGACGAGCTGGTTGGACACGACCCAGCTTGTTCAAGACATATTCGCCACGATGGCCAAGCTTCGAATGAAGAGCGCCATGATGGGCAGTTAGAGGGCGGCGGTGTCTCCGGTGCGATGGCAAATGGAGTTGGGAGGACGATTGGTTGCGAGATGCTAGTTGGTGTGCGACACATGAGGCGACCAAGATCGAACAATCGTATTCTGAATATGGGGTGCACACTTGGGGGCTCTGTTGAGCATGAGGTTGGACGCACGGACAGCTGGAGTAAGCTACCCTCGAAGTGGCAGCGGGCGGACAGTCTTCACGAATATGGCACTACATCGCGTGCGTCAAGACCCGATGCTGACATACTAGAATGGGATTGAGGTATGATCCCGAGGAGGACTCCTCTGGTGGAGGCCTGAGACTTGCGCGCGAGCTGTAGAGCCAGAGCCCAGCGCCAGAACCATTCGAGCCAGAGGGCATACGCACAGTTGCCCTGAGTTTGCGAGAGGAGACAGCTTCAGGCATTGACAATCTGGGGCCGCGGAGCATGGCCCTTCTCTTGATGGGAGTGTCAGCGCGTCTGGATGTGTGAAGCGTGTAGCCGAAAACGTCGAGAGTTGCTTCAGCTGTTGACGGTAACAGGTATGCCCAGGTTGCCCAACGCCCGAAGGAGGACACAGGTTGACCGGGCTCTTGGCGAACACGCTAAGGGCTCACAGCAAGTTCTGGAAGGCGGGCCAGGATGTTTGGCGGAAGCGACACACAAGAAGGCACCAGCACGCGGCGACAGGACGAAACTCAGAACGTGCAGTGCGGACGTAGGCACGGGCGGCGGAAACTGGGGGGGGGGGGGGGGCGCCCTCCACCGACAACCAGTGGCGGTGATGTTGGACTTGTAAAAGGCTTCCCAGAAGACACCGCATGCTACAGCATGGGGATCGACTGCCACCACATGTTCAGCATGCGCAGGCTGATCAGCCCCATCAAATGGTATGTTGGGCGGCGAGTGCTTCGATTTGGAAGCCCGCTGTTGGCATGCGGGAGAATGGGCAGCGTCGCCATTGCAGGGCGCACCTTCGGCACAATTATGATGCTGCTGATGGCGCGGGGGGCCTCTGATCAGATCTACCGGCTTCGGCCGCCGCTTGCCATAACAACGGTGGTTTATGATGGCAGTCCCCAGGTTGGTGGAACAGAGTCAACCAGCAAAAGTAGCGACCAGTCAGTCTCGCTAGTCAATGCCACAAGAAGTTGGCAGATATTGGGTTGGAGCTCAGTCGAAATATAGAACCTGCGATTTCAGCATCTGCAAAATTTACCAAGCGATCTGGCATGGCTTCCAATGCGCACATGGCCGAGCGAGGGCGAGTCGTGCGACGACGCGCGGCAGGAGCCAGGGGGGAAGTGGCGCCGCCCAGGCCCAGCGAACGCGGCCATCCACGTCAAGCAGGAAGCCAAGCAGATATCGGATATTGGCACAAGGTGGTCGTCAACTTGGAGGATGATATTGGGGCGGGGGCTTCCGTCAGTGCCCTGCGCTGTCAAAGTGCAAGGCGCGTCGGAGACGCAGCTCTAGCAGGTCAAGGCCATCGCGGGACGCGCTCTTTGCGGAGGTGTCCGAGGCAGGTGCAGGACGATGGAGCCCACCTTCTCGCGCTGTCCGAGATCCGACCGCGCGCGCATGGCGGATGCGTATCCCTTGGCTTCTTGGCCCAGGGTGAAGCGGGGCACGTGGGTCAAGCCGAGGGCAATGCAGCTGGCCTGCGAGCGCATTCAGCGCAAGGTTTCAACGTGGAAAGCAGCGCGAGGGCCCGCGCCTCAATGACCTTCGAACGGATGGGATGGGCGGCACATTTGCGGGATTACTGGTGGAACGAGCGCGGCGCCGTCGTCGACTTCAGCGGGGTGGGCTGAGGTAGGTGCGGCCGCGCTCGCGAAGGCAGCGCAGCAGTCGACCAAGTCAGTGGGGTTCCAGGCGGTAGAGGGGAGGGCGGGCTCCTTGGCCCGCTCGTTCTGCAACTTGCACGAGAAGAGATCCACAATTTCAACGCAGGCGGCGAATTCAATGGCGCGGGCTAACTTCGCCCGTGGTTGGCATGAGGTTTCTTCAACCAAGTGCGGCCCCGCCGCGCGCGGGGGGTTCCCCCTGGCGCATGGAGCATTTGCCGGGCGGAGTTGGGGGAAAAAAGACTTTCATCGGACGTTCAGGCGTGGCTGGCATTGTCGAGAGAGACAAGACTGGCGTGACCAGGAGAGGAAGATGCTCGAGTGGACCAGGAAAGAGCATTGTCAACATTACCCGTCCACCGCAATGTTGCGCAAAGGCCTGTTCATTGATCCGCTGCGCGGCTTTTCACGACTACGGACAGAAAATCACGGTTGGTGACATCAGCGCACCGCCAGCGGTTGATCGGCGGGCAGACGCGCGTGGTTGGGAGTCGCCGATGTCCTAGTTGTGAGTGCAGCGCTTGCAGTGGACGGGCATACTGTTTGATTGATCGGATCAGCAGTATGGTCGCTGCTGCTGGCCCTGAGCCATTCCCTTGGCAGACGGCAGGGGCGGCTGAGTTCGGGGCAGCCACGAAGCAACATCAACATCATCACGGACTATGAATGGCGGGCCACGCGGCTGCTGCGTCGAGCGCCAGTGCTCGGGGTTGCGGGCAAAGTTCTGGAGCTTTGCCAACGACGTCGGCAGATCATTCGCGGCCCCCCCCCCCGCCCCTCCTCGGTGCCCCGCCGCGCGCGGGCGGGGGCCGTCCGACGAGGAGTTTCTGCGTCGCGCTGGCACGGCAACGAGCTGCCCGACAACTATGCCAAAGGAGGGGCTCGCATGCATCCGCGACGGCTTCGTGGCGAACGGCTTCGGGGCCTGCGAAGTGGCGCAGCGCGACCGACGCTGCTGCTCGCGCCGCCGTGCATCTTGCGATGGTGTTCAGACGGGAACTGGACAGATGTTGGAAATATTGAGCGCGTTGAGAGGGACCAACCATCTTTCTGAATGACGACCGCGGGCAGAGTTGGACGAGGAGGTTTTACGGGTCGGTGGAGTTACGCAATGTGCGGATCTAGTCGTGCCCGACGTTTGGAGCTTTCCAATTGCGTTTGCGGCGGCCCGTCCACGTGGGCCCGCGAGGCCCAGGAACCCCACGAACTTTTGGGAATTGGGGCAGGTGTCTGGCGCGCTGAATGCGATGCTCGTGGCGCCCCTAAAGCGCCCGTGATCACGCGCCGCGCGTAGGCAGGCACCCTTGGCCTCCGTAAGTGCCTGATCCAGGGACGAGGGCCGCCCGGCGAGACATGAGGGGGTGGTTTGCACAGGCCCACTCTTATTCTCTTGCGCGACTGACCTGCAGTCGGCCAGGTTAGCAGCCCGTCGCTGGCAAGCGTAGCGAACCTCTATTTGTTGGCCTGGAGCCTTGTTCTCGGAGCCCCATCGTTGTCATCGGGAGCCTCTTCCTCCTCCTGTTTGATCATGCGCGCTCGTTTCCTCCTCCTCCTTTTGTCGGCGGCGAGCGGGGGGGGGGGGGGGGAAACGAGATGGAGAAGGCGTTTTCAGAACGTTCGGAAGTCCCCCGGCCTTCCGATGAGTTCCCCAAGTCTTCCCCGGCGGCAGGAAATCTGTTCAGCAGGCGCGAGGGTTTCTGAAAAGGCCTTCTCCTCCTCATTCCCCCCCTGGCTCGCCACCGGTTTTGGGCGGCGACGTGATCGCCATGATGATGAAAAAAGGGGTCCAGGAGGGAAGGGGCCCTGGTGGTTGTGCGTTGTCGGCCTCCCGGGGGCCACTCCTGGGCCCTGAATGAAACCGACAAGCGTCGCTCGATATGTAGAACTGCTCCCAGGGGTACGGTGGGGGCCCATGCCAAGAAACGCCCTGCTTGCCTCCAGGGTGCCCTGGTTTTCCTGGTCTCCGACGGCTTTGCCATGATGGAGAGGGCGACGTTCCCGCGCCAAAAATCAAGGGACTCCCTGGGGTCTCAGGGTTGGGTTTCTTGTGGACGGTTTCTTGTGGACTTGCCTCCATTATAATCACCGCGGACCGATGACCCATTCCTACCGAGATCTCCTCGACCTCATTTTAGTGTTCTCCCACCAGCACGAGAAGGCTAAACTCTCAGCTGTTCTGCATGGTTCATTCTGTGCTTCTTTTTGAGTAGAAAGACTGTCGAGTGTCGCGCATGCTCGGATTTCGTCGTCGCGTTTGGTCTTGGGCGAACAGGTTTCCGCAGCAGGGTGGCATTGAGGTGCGTTCGGTGCTACTACCATATGTGGCCGATTCGGTGTGTTATCACCGTCGTTTCTCAATATACCTTCGGGTAGCCGGTAGCCGTGATGCTTGTTCGTTTTATCAACTAGCTGGTGTGGGCATGGCCACTCGTTGTTATATTGATTTTATCTTGTGGCTGGGTGAGCAGTTCCACCCCAAGGTGGCCCACACACCCGATGCCGCACCCCAGTCGCTCCGCGCGTTGGCCCCCGCGCTGGGGAAGGGGTACGGGGAAGCGGGTCCAGAGACGACCCAAGAGAGTCGCGCGGACCTCAGGAAGGTTAGGGGCTGCGTCGCCTGCGCGTTCTCTGACTCCCTTCCCCCGCCCTCTCACGACGATGGTCCTGGTTCGCCCGTAGGGGGGCGGCAGGTATCTGCACTCTGCGGCCTGGGCCGGTCAGTGGTCATCCGGGGAGGCCGCGCGAGAGCGCGCAGAGGGCACGAGGTCGGCTGGCGCGGGGCACGAGGTCGGCTGGCCTCGGTGTCCCTTCCCTGCCGGCGCCCCCAAGGATCAGGAAGACGGGTATCGGGCCGGGAGGGAGGGACCTGGGAGAAATCGAGGGTAGCATTTATCGTGGGCGGTCGAAGGTATCGCGCATTACATTCGATTGCTAGTGCTCGTGCCGTCATCCTCCCAGCCCCTTCCTCCCAACACGGTGGCTGTTCTCCTCGCAGGAGAACGCCTCGCTGGCGGCGGAGATCGCCAGGCTGTCCAGGGAGCTGGAGGAGTCCAGGGCGAGCGCCAAGCACGCCGCGGAGCTCACGGGGGCCAGAAGGGGGGGACGGGAGGGTCTACAATCGGGGGAGCGTAAGACCCGGGTTTGCCAGGACTCGGGTTCGCCATTTTTTTTTGACGACCGCGACTCGGATTTTGACGAGGAGGAGTTTCGTGGGATGTCTGCAGCGGGAGGCCTCGTCAAAATGCAGGCTCTGCCTCGTCATTTTTTTGACGACCCGTCGGGGATTTCCGAGTCCCCCGTACCCGGGTCTTACGTCTCCCCGATACAATGAAGACGCTGAGATAAGGAGCAGTTCGGGTTCGGAAGCTGTTCGTAATTCCTCGGGTCCTTGTACGGTCCTTCCTCCAGCGTCCTTCGGGCACCCGGACGCTTTGGGATCCATGAAGGGGCCTCGTTCCCTAGTTGGCGTTCCTTCTGGTGGCAGCCTGACTGCATGGCAAGTTGGTCCCGCCTGGAAGCGGCGACGGCGCAAGCGCGGGCGCTTCAGGCCGAAAGTCATCCGTGGGCCTGTCTCGGGCGCCAGGAGCCCACAGAAAGCAGCCTACGGCGCGAGATCGGTTCGAGAGATGTTGCCGACAGTCTCTTGGGACAAAGGTCGTTTGAGATTGAACGGTTCGCGCGGTGTCATAAGTCGGTGCCCGTGTCGTCAGTGCCTACTGTACGGGGAGCGGGGGGAGGTCCAGGCACCCCGAGGAGCTCCTCGAACACAACAAGGGCATGCTCGAGCGGATGAAGTCGATGGCCGCTACTTCGGCCACGGAGTCCCAGACTCAGAGCGACGAGGCCCTCCAGCGGCTAAAGTGCGACCTGGAGCAGGAGCCGCCGAGGGGATATGTACCCCCTCTCCCCCGTATCCCACCTCTTTCTCTCCTCCCATCTGTGGCGTTCCCTTGTGCGCCGCCGCGCCGCAGGCGGTGGATCAGAAGGGCCTTGCTCAGTGGTGTGTGCGGGTCCTGCAGAAGTCTTTGAAGGCCAGTAGGGCGTCGTCGCGATCCCGAATCCGCAGCCCGTTCTCTCTGGTCATGGCTCGTGGACTTTGGTCGTGGTCCCTGGACGTGGTTCTTGGTCGTGGTCTCTGGTCTCTGGTCGTGGCTCTCGAGAGCTCTTCGATACGATGGTCTCCCCCCCCGGAGCGGTAAAGAGCCCAGGTCTCCCAGCTGTCCCCCTGCACACGAAGTGTGCCCAGACGGGGGGAGCAACGGCTCGAGCCAAAATGGCCACGGATCTCTTCGTGCTGTTGATCCTTCCCCCTCCCCTCCCCCTCCACCCGCTTCCCCTCCCCACCACGTCCCAACCCCACTTGCCTTCCAAGCATCCCAACCCCTCTGCCGCACCCCCACCGCCGCTGGCCCTTCCTTCTCCCCTCCCTCCGTCTGCACCTCCTCCTCCATGGCGGAGGCCACCTCTACCCGAGGCGTTGAGGTCTGGCGCGCAGGCACACCCTCCACGAGGAGGAAAAGCAGCGGGGAAGGCGCAGAACGTCAGAGAAAGGCAGGCTGCAACAGAGGTGGGGCCTCTGGCGAGGCAGAGGCAGCCTGCGCGGGGCCCGGGGGAGCTCCGGTGGCACCCGCCCGACCGCGAGCGTCGTCGTCGGCCCGTCCGTCCGTCGGTTGCCGCCAGTCGCCGTCGCCGTTGTCGTCGACGTTGTCGTCGTTTGTCGCCTGCCGCTTCTCGCCCGTCGTTGCCGTCGTGCGCGCAGGAGCGGGACGGGTTCCGGCAGCGCCAGCAGGCGCTGGGCGAGGAGCGGGAGCGGTGGCGGCAGGAGAAGGAGGCGCTGGAGCAGCAGCTGGAGCGAGCCGTGGCCGAGCGGCATGAGGCGGGCCAGCCACAGCCGGGGGGGCGGGTGGTGGTGCTCATCGAAGCAGAAGAAGCGGCATGAACATAAGCGCTCGAAGATCCGCGCGAAGTTCCTGGGTCGGCGCTGGACCCCCTTGCCTGGCTCGCGGAGCGCGCCAGGGGCCAATCGCCAATCCAGGAAATCTGCTCGGATCGCCGAGCCTCTCTATGTGTGCACGTGTTCTTCCTCTTCCTCACCCCCGGGGGGCGGGGGGCCCCGCGGCTTCGACAACCCCTTCCTCGAGGGAGGTCGCCGACACGAGGGGTTCCCCTGACGGGGGGGGGGAAGGAGCACAAGCTCCCCCGGTTGTCGCCGAGCGGGACGAGGCGGAGAGGCGGGAGGCCGCGCGAGCCACGGGGGAGCTCCAGGCGAAGGTGGCCAAGATACAGGAGCCAGCGCGGTCTTTTGGTGAGCTGTCTTGGGTAGTTGTTGGCAGGGGCATGGGGAGCATGTGGAGAGATCGGGCGGGCATGACGCCTTCCCCGGTATCTGACAAGGCGTGGTATACACATGGCACGGCTGTCAAGACGTGGTATTTGACAAGACGTGGTATCTTCCTCTCCAGGTTCTAAATTCCGTTCAGTTGTTCCTGATGTACAACTCGTGGGGCTGACAAGAACAACGTAGTCTTGGATGGGTGCGTTCGTGTGCCTCGCCTTTGGGCCCCCCACGTTGGAGTGCTCCGTTTTGGGGGGTTATCTCCCTGGGTCTCTGGTCCCTCGGCAAAGGGGGCTCTTGCTGTTGATCTCCGTTCTTATGGCCACGCTTCGATTGTAACAAATCTTTTATAGGGGCTGGAAGGGTTGGCATGGAGGTTTGACCTAACGTCTGGCAGGGATAATTGTTAAACTGGTGGTTCTTTTCGTAGCATGCGAGTCAGATGTGTCATGGGCTGCCTTGGGAAACTACCCATCGAAGCTGCCGTGCAGGGAGGAGGGGGGGTAAGATTATCATCGTGGTCGTGTCACGAATCCTTTGGTTGGGATTTGTTTCTGCTGGGCTCTTTCGAAGTGCATGCTTGCAGGAACATGTGAGCTACCCTTGGCTGGAGTAGGTCCCATGTGGTTGTGACAAGGACTGACAGCAGGAGGGAGGGGGAGGGCAGCGGATATGGCTGGTGTACCAGTGGCCATGGAGCCACTGTGCCAGGATAACCTGACGAGGACCCACGAGGTCCCCCCAAGCCCCCCGAGGCCTCTCGAGGCCCACCGAGAGGCACGCACGACCGTTTCCAAGCTGGCGGGTGCAGCGACGCCTTCTTGGCCGGTTTCGATGCTCACCCAGACCTCCGACGTCGTGGTTTGCTCAGCACCAGCGTTTTTCCGTGCAGAGCGAGTGCCGTAAGGTTTTTTCAATGCACGCGCACAAAACAAGACATTGCCCGATTTGATGGTTTGCAGGTTGTTTGGCACAACCTATGGCACAACCTACGGCGCAGCAATGATACACCCACTGATGTATAGTGTATAGGCCGAGTTGGTGGCCTGCGGGGTGCCTGGCGCAATATATGGCGCAACCTATGGCAATGGTACGCCGACTGAGGCAACAGCCGATTTGATGACCTTCGGGGTGCTTGGCGCAACCTTTAGCGCATCCTATGGCGTAGTGGCACCAACTGAAGCATCGGCCGGTTTGGTGGCCCGCGGGGGAGGTTGGCGCACCCTGTGGCGCAACCCTGCGGGGTGCTTGGTGCAATCTATGACACAATGGTGCCCAATTGAGGTATTGGACGAGTCAGTGGCCAGCGGGGGGCCTCGCACAACCTATGCCGCAATGGCACATCCCTGAGGTATGGGCCGATGTGGTGGCCCGCAATGTGCCTGGCGCAAGCTATTGCGCACACTGGCACACCCATCCAGGCAACGGACGATTTGGTGATTTGCGGGGTGCCTGGCGAAATCTTTTGCAGACGTTGTGTAGAGCTTGTCGGCGAGGTAAGATTACTGACGCTTCGCGTATCCCCACCAGTTTGCCTCGGTGGCCAATTTACAACGTCACGCGCCCCGGACGCTGTGTTTGCTCCCTGTCATCCGCCTTGGAGCCGCGAACCAAAAAAGTATCCCCACCAGCCCGGCTGGCCTTCTCCCCCCACCCTGGGCTTGGCGCCGTGCCGCTACGAACTGCTTGGCTCGCAGTCGTTCGGCTTCCCCCCTGCACTGTTGGGTGGACTGGCGGGTGTTGAAATCGCCACGGAGTGGTTCAGCCCTTCGCAGCAGCTGCAGCACTTCAGGCTCACCTACCAGCTTCCGGCAGGTTGCGTCGCACCACGTTCCGCGACAGCTCAGCCCCCCTGGCTAGCACACGTCGTTAGGGCGGTTGGAGCCTGGCGCCCCACTGGCGACTCGCTTCTCGGGCCTCGCGCCTGCCCCCACTCAGAATGACGGACTCGGTTGCTCAGGTACACGTCTTGTCACTGTGTGGGCCGTGCCTCATGGCAGGCATCGAATTCCTCGACATTTTGTCCAGTGCGTGTGCTCGAGCTTCCCTGGATGCTCCCCGCCGTCAGTCCCCCCACTGCCTCGCGGCTGCTTTGTGAGTGGGCCTGCCGGCTAATGCGCCTCCTTGTAGCTAATTGGGCTTGCCCGTTGGCCCGGACACCCTGCCCGCCGCCTGCCTCTTCGCTCGCGGCCGCGACCGAAAAAGTATCCCCACCAGCCCTGGCCGTCGTTGACTTTCCGACTCATGGCGCATCCGACGGATTTGCAGTTTTGCACGCTGGCAGTTCCCCTCAGTTTCAGCCATTTCCGCCACCCACTTGCCGTTGGGCCGTCGCGTGAGGCCTCGGCCGGCGCGTAGCTGTTGCCTCGCGCGTCGCCTCTGCTTAAATTTTTTCGCGTTTCCTCTGCTTGACTAATCTATGCGTAGTCCGCTTTGACCTGACTCGCCGCCGGCGCGCTCGCCCGCGGCCGTTGACTAAAAAGTATCCCCACCAGCGGCGGTAGGTTTGCCGTTGCCTGCGCGCGCTAGGCAATTAGTTACGCTCGTAGCCCGAGCCGGCCTGTGACGCCGCCGGCGCCTTCGCCTGCGGCTGCGATAAAAAATCCCCACCAGCCCATCCCAAAACATTCACTACAATGCTCGTAAGATGCAAGCTGGCTGTTTTTGTTTTCGGTGCTTGCGTGGTCGGCGCAAAACGCCGTGTCTGACAGGTGTCCGGACGATCGAGGGCTTCGATTTTGAACAGCGTGTCAATATGATTTCCGACGGTGCTTGTAGGCGAGGAGGACGAGGACTCTGGCAGCCATCGATGTGTCTTCTTGAGGGTCCTCTTGAGGGTCCTCTTGAAACTCTCTTCCAGCCCTCTTGGGGCTATTGTGGGGAGTCTTGGGGTTGTCTTGGGGCTCTTTTGGGGGTTTTGGGGGCACTCTTGGAGCTCTCGTGGAGGCCTCTTGGGAGCCCTGAAGAACATTCGGGGCCAACTTGGAAGGCGTCGATCGGAAGAGGTGGAGGCTCTCGACTCCCAACCTCAAGTTCTGTGCCATCAGAATCGTCTGTTCGGGCGTTCTTGGGGTGCTCTTGGGCGGTTTTGGGGCCGTCGTGGGGGCCTCATGGGCCTCTATTGGGGCTCTCTCGGGTTATCTCAGGGCCACATTGAGACTTCAAAAGCCAATCGGGATCAAAATGGAGAGGAAGCAAAAATCAATGATCTTCTTGTGGTCTGCGAAAGATTTGGGTGTCTTGGGGGGGGGTCCTTGCGGGGCTCCAAGAGCACTTGGAACCGTCTTGTGGCTCTTTGTGGGTTTCTTGGAGGCATGTCGGAAGCTACCTTTCACCGTCGTCGGCTATATTGAGCCATCTTGGGCCCCACTTTGGAGCGTCAGAAGCTCTCTTCGAGCCATCTTGGGCGAAAAAGGACCCCTGACACATCGCGGGGGGACAGAAAGGAATCCAGGAGGGAGGGGGAGGGCTCCCCTCCTCGAAGGGAGGGGGGCTTGGGAATAGGACAGAAATATCGTTAGACCACGGACGCCCAAAGGGCTGGTGGTATCAGTCACTTTCGGCATCTGGACGCCCGCCGAGGGTCCTGGGACAATCAATTGACGATCCAGAATGAAAACGGGCTCCCGAGAAGAGACACCCTACAAAAGTCCGCCCCAGGGCCGGTTCGGTCTGGCCATTCGGGCCAGTTTCGGCCCTCCGATTCGGTCCGAATTGGCTTGTCTGGTTCCTACCAGCTCGGTGTGGGCTCTGGTTCGGCCTGTTTCTGTTGCACATGCCGCCAGCTCATGGCTACCAGTTCGTTTCAGAGCCACCATGCACACATATCTTCGGGCGCGTATTGACTTGAATTTCGAGGCTGACCCAGCAGAGGCGTCGAAAAGTGTCCCAGAGCCCGAAACTAGTAAAAAACTCTCGAACCTCGATCCTCCTCTTCCCCCTCTTCCTTCTCCTCCTCCTCCTCCTCCTCCTCCTCCTCCTCCTCCTTCTCCTCCTTCCTCCCTCGTCTTTTTCCTCGTCCTATTCTACCCTGCGCTCCCACAGGAGGACGGCGCCGAGAGGGAGCAGGCCCGGGAGGAGGAGGCGCGTCGCGCTGCAGAGCGGGCGAGGAGGGCCGAGGAGGAGGCGCGGGCTGTGCTGGGCGAGAAGGACGCGCGGCGGCGGCGGCGTCAGGTCGAGGAGTGGCAATTTTTTGTTTCGGTGCGGGGAAGGGCCAAGAGGACGGCGTCCGATGCCGGGTCCAGCGCGTCCACCGTGAGCCGGATGTCCGTTGGAGAAAGATGTTGGGGCCCTACAGCTAGCTGCTCCGACTGCGGCTGCCCAAGAACATCTGGCAATTGTAACCGGCCAGTCTGTGAAGAATGCTCGGGGATTTGCGAGCAGTGCAACATCAATTTCCTATGCGTCGACTACCTGGCAATCGCGGCTTAACGAGCCGCGCGCGAAGCCGCTCAACGACGGGAGGCAGTCATTGCCTTGGCTCTGAGGCAGGATCGCATTGATGGATAGATCGTCCGATGAAGTATCACATTGGAGGACTGATCGTCGGATGTAGTTTACGCGTGACGATCTGGATGAGGGGCGCCAGGTGCGGGCTGAGCTCGAGGTCGCCGAAGATCGAGCGAATATCGCAGAAGCTCGCGAGGTGGTAGCCCGCTTGGGCGCAGAACGCCGAATGGGGGGCGCGGAGGACGATGCGCTTGCATCTAGAACGAAGGAAGCTGAGGAGGCTGCCCGAGCGGTCGAGACGGCGGTCGAAAGATGTCGCGACGCAGAGATGGCCGAGTCACGTATGACGCATCAGATGAATTTCGGCCGAGCACGTAGTCAGAACCCAACAGGGCAAACTCCTCGCAATAAAGCTGCATCGAGAAATGGATGGCCAGGGCAGAGCCGGAGAGCGGGATAGAGAGAGAGGGAAGGGAAGAAAGGAAGAAATGGAGGAAGAAGCAAGAGGCTTCCTGAGCGCCCAGCTTCCCCGAGCCCAGAGCGCCAGCCACGCGAAACAAGCTTCTGCTACTGCTGCCACGTTGCATCCAGCCGGCACGCGGGCCGCCTCTACAAGGGGAGGTGCCGCTGCAGGCGTGGCACTAGGCCAGTCAGTGGTTTTTGTCGGGCGCAACGCTCGGCGCTGCGGCGCGGGGGCCAGCAGGCGCGCGCCGCGCGCAACGAAAAAACGAAGGGCGAGGAAGAAAATGGCAAACAAAAAAAACACGCGGGGCCCAAGAGGAAGAATCACTCCGCCGCAAGAAGGCGAGGGAGAACGCAACTCATCGATGTTCTGAACAAGACGCGCGAACTGCCGCCGAAAAGACGGGGGGGGGCGGGGGTGAGGATCGCGAGATGGAAGCTCGAGTTGGGCGTTGAAGAAGAAGCTTCATTTGATGGAGATTCAAGAGGGCTCACTGGCGGATGCTGCTTTCAGATTGGAGGTGAGAGCCGAGCAGATCCGCGAGGTGGCCGCTGAGCGCCATGAGAAGCGGGAAGCAGAGAGAGCACGCCGCAGGGCCGAGTCCAACCTTGAGTTAATGTCGCAAGAGGTTTAGTCCCTCGAGGGAGAAACATGGGCTGTCGAGGCCAGGATCGAGGCTTCCGAAGCGATGGCTGTCCTCGAATCATTCCTGGGCGAGTAATATTTGAAGATGATGGGAAGGACGACGCTTCGTTCGATTTCTGGGAAGCAGACGAGACAGGCCCCCGTGAACTTGCTCGAGCGTTCAAGGCTTCTGGGGGCGGCGGGCCGGGCGGCGTCGCCGGCGATGGGGGCGGCGTGGGTAACTGGACAGACGATCCGCCCCAGGTCACATTCTTCTCGTTGTCCGGGCCCAACAGCGAGGATAAGCAGAATAGACACGGAAATCCTTGCTCGGGTGGCCCAGGAAGCCCATCAGGAGGGCCTGGAGGTCCTCCCGGAGGTTGGGGCTCTGGCGGTGGAGCGAATGCGAGTTGTGGCGGTGCCAGAGATGACAGCTCGTGCCGCGCGGGCACTGGTCGAGGCTGGGAAGGCAGCTCGCGGCGAACGAGGTCGAAGCTTGACCCCTGGGGCCCGGTGGCGCCCGCTGGCCCTGGCTAATGAAATCCGGGACTACGTTGAGCGATTGAGCCTTCGCCCCTGCAGCAGGAATAGGTGTCACTCGGATTGGTGGCGCCGTGAAATATTTTCGGGGCTGGCGCCCCTTAACATGGCGAGTTGCGCTGAAGTCTGGCACGCGGGGTGGAGTTGCTCCAGGCCCGCCGCGTTGCACTCGCTCCCTCCGCCTCTCTGTAAAGCTGACATGCGCGGGCCACTGCGCGCGTTTGGCTCAAGTAGCCAGCAAAGGACTGTCAGAGGAGTGCATCTATGCACTAATCCATTTTTTGGATGTAGAATATACAGCGCTGAATGTTTCGGTGCCGCTTGTTATTCCAGTCTTCTTGCGCTGATGTGTGTTTTGTTTTCCCTCCGCTGCGCCGCGCGTCTTCCCCCTCCTTTACAGACTCCCCCCCCGCCCTCCTCCGCTCGCAGCCGCCCCTGCTGCGTGGCCGGCTGCGTGATGCTGGTGGCCCGCCCATGCCATCCGTTGCTGTTGCTGCGAACGGAGTGATCAGTTCGGCAAGCTCCTCGCACGGATCGCGCCCCGCGGGGGGCTCCATCTCCGGCCCCAGCAGGGGCGCGCCCACAGCGTCTCCGCGCTCTTTTCGGCGCGCCCCCAGCGCGCGCCGCAGCCCGCAACGGGCCCCGCCCCGCCCCCAGGCCCAGGAAGGGCGGCCCCAAAGAGTATCCGCAGCCATTGCGGCGCGCCGTTCCCGCGGCTCGCGCCAGCGAGGGAGCTCCGCCCACGGCCCGCGGGGGCGCTCCAATTGCGTCTCCGCGCCCGCGTCGGCATGCCCCTCGCGCGCATCGCTGCCACAGTTGCGCTGAAGGCCGCAGCGGGCGTTCCCATGGCGTCGCCGCGCTCGTTTCGGCACGCTTTCTCAATCGGATGGCGCCCCACACGGAGCGCCACCCTACGAATCCAGTAGGGGCAGTCATTATTGCGTATTGCGTATCCGAGAAAATGCTTGCGCACGTTTGAACAGATTTTGCGCCGCGTGGCAGCTCCACGCAGGGCCCCGGCGAGGAGGCCGCCCCCCTGGCAGCGCCGTCGCACTCTTCATTCCGGTTGCGCCCCATGCGGAGCTGCACCTGCAATCCCCGTGGGGACGTCCGCATGCGGTCGCCCATGCCATCGCTACGGGGGATTCTGGAAAATCAGAAACAGTCCAGGGCCCGATTGGTGCATAGAATTTCGGGACGACGAACATTTCGGAACGCATCAGGCAAAACGACCCGCCGAAATTCTATTCACCGATCAGGCCACAGGACATCGCCTTATGACACTCCCAGAATTTTCGTGGCCTCGGTGACCCGGGGCTTCGCGCCCAGCCACCGATAGAATCGACCAAAGGTTGCCCCTGGTAGGCGATGGTGCCCCTGCCGCGTAGGAGCGGAAATCATATTCAAATTCCTTGACGCTCCGTTTCCGTTTGTCTTGGGAGGGTTGGAGAGGGAGGGCGGCAGGGGCGCGGGGGCCAGGAGGGGATCTTGGGCAGGGGAAGCAGGCAGAGACGGGCAGATCTTGAGCAGGAAGGGGAGGGGCCAGCGGGCGCAGGGAACGGAAGTGGGGAGGCAGGGGGGGGAGGGAGGGAGCGGAAGTGGGGAGGGGGGGGGGGGGGGAGCGAGGCAGAGTGAGCGAATGGACGGTGGGGGGGGGAGGGAGGCGGAGGGCGGGGCGAGGGGAGGGAGAAGCGAACGGGGGCGGAGGCGGGAGGCGAGGTCGCGGCGGGCTGAATGGGTGGGGCGACAGTGGGCTGAGGAGGGGGGGAGCGGTGAGCGCGGGGACACGGGGTCCGTCGCCCGCCATTTTGGCTCAGACCTCCGCGGCGGCATCGTTTCCAATTGGGCCAGAGCCAGTACTCTTCCCCTCCTCAATGTGATGCATGGGTGAGGGTGCTGGCGAGCGCGCCCGCGTGCGTTCCCAGGCCGTCGCGCTGCCCCGCCCAACATTTTTCGCGCGCCCGGTCACGAACGGAGATTCATGACGTCGGCGCAAGGCAGCGCTTGCTTAGACACGGCGTCAGAATCGTGGGCGGCGGTTTTCCGCCATAGGTTCCTGGGCCGCTGCGGCCTTGCCGGCCCCTGCCCAAACGCGCACCGGACGGGGCGCATGGCATTCGCGCCCTCTGTCGGCAACTAAGCTGACACCGTTTTGGCACTCGCGTTCCCAAAAATCTGCCCGAACAGGTCGGAGTATTGATGCGCGCCTCCCAGACTGAACGCTGTCGCGTCAACCGGGAGAAAGTGCACCCGCCCCTCTCTCTCTAGCGCGCGCGTCTTCACCCACATGCTTATGCCTATTCACCGGAGCGTTACAGTTATGGCGGACGAGATCGTCGGGAACTCAACCATCTATAAGATTCATGCAATAGGGCCCTCAGGGTTCGGATATCAGAGCAAGGGAGACGCCACTCGTCAGGGCGCGTCGGTTACATGACGAAGAACAAAGAGTAAGGAGGGCAGGAGGACGGAGGAGCAAGAGGACAGGGGGATAACATATGAGGAAGGAGGAGAGAGGGAGGGAGAGAGGGAGGGAGAGAGGGAGGAGGGGCAGGGATGAGAGGGAAGGGGAGGGGGAGGGAGGAAAACCACCAGGCTGGGCATCAAAGAGGCCAGTCCCACACGATGCTTGAGCCGGAACCCCGGATCCTAACCCCATTGCTTGGGGATCCCCTTGTGAGATGGGAGTGGGAGGCCATTCGGGTGCCCCCAGGGCCATGCGAAGGGAGGGGCGGGGGGAATCAGAGGGAAGGACGAAAAGGAGGAGGGGGCGAGTCTAGGGTGGACCCCCACAGTGCCCCCCTTCCCGGTTCGAGTCCCTGTCGGTCGAATCGTCTGTTCGTGCTGCTTTGAAGGGTTTGAGGATTTCTTCTTTCCGCCAACTGGTTAAATTGGAGGAGGAGGGGGAGGAGGAGGTGGAGGACAGAGGAGGAAAGAAGGGCGAGAGGATGATGCTGATGCTGATGCTGCTGATGTTGATGGTGATGATGATGATCGTGATGATGATTATGTTGATGATGGTGGTGATGACGGGGACAGCGATGATGAGGATATGATGATGACGACGAGGACGAGGAGGAGGTTGAGGAGGAAGAGGACATGGAGGAGGACGTGGATGAGGTCGTGGAGGATGACGCGGAAGACATGTAGACGGGGGCGGAGGCGGATGGCAGACGGCAGCAGAGGAGGAGAAACATTAGGAGGCAGCTGAGGAGGAGGAGGAGGAGGGGGAGAAGGAGGAGGAGGAGGAGGAGGAGGAGGAGGAGGAAGGTGGAGGAGGAGGAGGAGGAACGAGGTGTAGGACGAGGAGAAGGAGGACAGGGGACAGGGCGCATGGGAAAAAGAAGGAAGAACAGATTCTGGGCGAGGAAGAAGAGAAGAGGAACAACGGAGGGAGGACAGCGGAAGGAGGAGGAGGAGGAGGAGGAGGAGGGAGGAAAGGGGAACAGGGAGAAAAAAGAGGAGCAGTGAAAACGGAGGAGGAGGAGGAGGAGGAGGAGGAGGAGGGAGAGGGAGAGAAGGATAAGGAGGAGGAGGAGGCGGAGAAGGAGGAGGAGGCGGAGGAGTATGAGGAGGAGGAGGAGGAGGAGGAGATGGAGAAGGAGGAGGAGGAGGCGGAGGAAGAGGAGGAGGAGGAGGAAGAGGAGGGGGAGGAGGAGGAGGAGGGAGGAGGGCGGAGGAGGAGTAGGAGGAGGAGGAGGAGGAGATGGAGGAGGAGGAGAAGGATGAAGATGGGGAGGAGGAGGACAAGGAATAATAATGATAATAGTAAGGAGAAACAAACCAAGGAGCGTAATAGTACAACTAATGGAACTAATACTAATAGCAACATAGTAACGACACAACCTAGCACTGCACAGATTGGTAATACTACTAGTAACATTTCATCATAATAATAATGATAATACTGCTCATACTAGTAATAGTAATAGTAATCGATATTATGTTAGATATAAAGTTGTCCATATATATAACAGCAGCAGTAGTGGCTGCTGCGCTATGCTATGCTATGCTCTGGTCTGCTTTGTTATGCTATGCTATGCTATGCTATGCTGCGCAATGCTATGCTAGGCTAGGCTAGGCTAGGCTATGCTATGCTATGCTGCGCTATGCTATCCTGCGCTATGCTATGCCATGCTATGCGATGCGATGCTATGCTATGCGTTTGCTTTGCCTTCGCTTTTGCCTTCAGTGTTGCCTTTGTTGTTGCTTTTGCTTGGCACCCAGGGAGCGCAACTGGGGGAACCGCGCGTTTGCTTTTACCTTTGCTGTTGCTTTTGCTTGGCTCCCAGGGGACTGGGGGAACCGCCCGGGGCGCGTTCCACTGTCCGGCCCCTTTAAGCCAACACAGTAAGAACCCTTCGAGGCAGAGCTTAGGTAGGGAATTCATGAGACGAGCAAGAATAATACATGTACGAACCAGACGGAGAAGAACACGAAAAAGAAGAGGAGGAGGAGGTGGAGGACGGAAGAGGAGGAGGAGGACGGAAGAGGAGGAGGAGGAGGTGGAGGTGGTGGACGAGGAGAAGGAGGAGGAGGAGGAGCAGGAGAGGAGGTGGAGGAGGAGGAGGAGAGGAGGAGCAGGAAGGAAAGGGGGGAGAAGGACGAGGAGGAGGAGGAGGAAAGGGAGGAGGAGGGAGGAGGAGGAGGTGGTGGAGGAGGAGGAGGAGGTGGAGGGAGGGGCGGAGGAAGATGGGGGAGGTGGAGGAGGAGGAGGAGGATGAGGAGGAGGAGGAGGAGGAAGAGGAGGATGAGGAGGAGGAGGAGGAGGGAATAGGAGGAGGAGGAGGAGGAGGAAGGACGAGGAGGAGGAGGAAGAGGAGTTGAAGGAGGAGGAAGAGCAGCAGCAGCAGCAGAAGCAGCGCCAGCATCAGCACCAGCAGCAAGTTGAGGAGGAACATTGAAGGAGGAGGAAGAGCAGCAGCAGCAGCAGAAGCAGCGCCAGCATCAGCACCAGCAGCAAGTTGAGGAGGAACATGAGGCGGAGGAGCAGGAGGAGCAGGAGGAGGAGGAGGGATTCTGAGGAGGAAGAGGAAGAGGAAGAGGAGGAGGAGGAGGAGGAGGGAGATCATGACTAATGGCAATAATGCAGTGGTCGTAATACATTAAGAATACGAATAATAGTAATACTAAATCGTACTACAGAATGAAATCTAGAAACACATAGATGACGACGTACATAGATGCATACATTCAAAATGCTAGCAATATTATCCCAGTGCGACCCTACCTAGGAGTTGGAACCCCTAGGAAACAGCATTAGTAGTAACCGTACCGCTAAGCTAAAGCTAAGCTAAAGCTAAGCTAAAGCCAAGCAGCAGCTAAGCTAAAGCTAAGCCAAAGCTAAGCTAAAGCTAAGCTAAAGCTGAGCAACAGCTAAGCTAAAGCTAAGCTACAGCTAAGCTAAAGCTAAGCTTAAGCTAAGCTAAAGCTAAAGCTAAACTAAAGCTAAGCTAAAGCTAAGCTACAGCTAAGCTAAAGCTAAGCTAGCGTTAAGCTAAAGCTAAGCTAAAGCTAAGCTAAACGCTAAGCGAACAGCTAAGCGAAACGCTAAGCTAAAGCTAAGCTACAGCTAAGCTAAAGCTACAGCTAAAGCTAAAGCTAAAGCTAAAGCTCCCAGGAGACTGAGGGAACCGCTCCCAGGGGACTGGGGGAACCGCCCGGGGCGTGTTCCACTGCCCGGCCCCTTTTAAGCTAAGAGAGTAAGAACCCTTCTAGGCAGAGCCTAGGTAGGTAACTATTAAAAATAGTACTACGGGTGCTCATGCAATAATAGTGTGTGGAAGAAAAAGAGGAGGAGGAGGAGGAGGAGGAGGAGGAGGAGGAGGAGGAGGAGGAGGAGGAGGAGGAGGAGGAGGGTGAGAGGGGAGGGGGAGGGGGGAGGGGGGGTGAGGGGGGAGGATGGACGCAGCGATAGGACGCCGAGCTCAACAACAAGGTCGCCGCCCTCAGCCAGAAGGACGAGGAGCTGCGCAAGCGTCAGCAGGCCGAGGAGGACTGCCGCGGCCCCTGGAAAAAAACGTGGAGGCGGGAGGAGAGGGCACCATGAGGGACGTGGGAAGAAGCGAAACAGAGGAGGAGGAGGAGGAGGAGGAGGAGGAGGAGGAGGAGGAACACGGAGGGAAGATGACAACGGAGGGAGGGAGGGGGAGGCGGAGGAGGAGGAGGAGGAAGAGGAGGAGGGAGATAACGAGGAGGAGGAGGAGGAGGAGGAGGAGGAGGAGGAGGAGGAGGAGTTGTAGGAGCAGGAGCAGGAGCATGAGGAAGAGAAGGAACCAAAAGAGGAGGAAAACGAGGAGGAGGAGGAGGAGGAGGAGGAGGAGGGACGGGAGGGAGGGAGGGCGGGAGTGGGGAGGAGGGAGGAGGGAGAAGGGAGTTCCTTCTGAGTTTCCTGGCGTCCACGAATCACTGGGGGGGCACCTAGAAACCTTAAGGCCACCACCGCCACTGAGGCCCGCCGACTGTGGTCATCCCTTCTGGATCCGCGCGAAATTCTCGCGATCCTTGCGGGGTTTCCCCCGCGCAGGCCCCGAGGGGGTTGCGAGGGCCAACGGTGGCAGCGCACCCGCGACGACGACAAAAGAAAAGGCTGTGACGCGGCCGCAGCTAAACATTGAGGGGCCCGTGACATTTCTCTCCCCCTGCACACACCTGGTGTGAACCGACACGGTTGGCATTTTCAGGGCAGCATTGACACAATGAGCATTGACAGGATGAGCAGTGAGTCGAATGCCTACAGATGCCTTTATTCCGCAGCTTGTCCCCCATTTTAATTTATTGAACGCATAATGCGCTAACGAACTCGGATGCGAACAGCAACATAATCCTGATCTCATGAAGGCCGTTCGCCTTGCCACTGAGCCTGGCGAGCGGCCTGCCCTGGCACAGGGGGTGTCTTTAGCGAACAAGTAGACTGCGTTTTGAACCCTTTTCGTCGGGCCCCCTCGGCCTAACGAGGCTTCGGAACATTGAGTGGTTGCGCCTTGTGTAATTTTCTTGAGGCATCGTACATATCACCGCTGAATTCGCTGAAGGCGCGGATCAGATAGAAACTGCCCTGTTTCCGTAGCCACTTTGTGGTAAGCACAAAAAGGCGCCATACCGGTATTGAAAAATACTTGCGACCACCCATATTCTTACATGTCAAATCTGGTGGGCACACAAAGGTATGTGGGGACAGGAGCCTTACATGTCACTGGTATACTAGCTGGGATAGGACCCCGGCCATGTCGTTGACACCTCACCCTCGCCCGCCACGCCGACAAGGGTGCGCCTGTTCGGTGCCGCCGCCAATGGTTGAGGACCCCCCGATGTTGGGTTCGACCCCCGCCCTGATCCACGGAGTGCGCTACACAGTGGGAACGCTCAGGGTCATGAGCCCAGCTGGACTACAGCTATGTGAGCAACGCTTGACGGACACAGAGGCCCGAGCGATGGGGTACCTCGACGAGCTGCGGTAGGCCACGGACGTGGCGAGGCACCAGGCGGCAGCCGAGCAGGACAAGCTACGCAGGGCAGTGGGCACCGCGCAGGCAACGTTCGCTTTTGGAGCAGGCCAGCCTGAAGACTGCCTACCAGACGGAGGCGCAGCATTTCGCCGCGGAGGAGTCGCTGGCAGCCCTTTGTGCTGAAGCCCGGGGCGCAGGATAGCAGGCGGACCTGAGAACCGCAACCCCTTTTGCCGGCGCTGCCGCTGGGACGGTTGCCGCCGACCTTGCTCGCGACCAGAAGCAGCGCCAGGCCGCGAGGGCTCACGCCGCGGCCAGAGCCGAAGGGGTTTCCGAGGCCGCCCAAGACTACGCCAACGCTGCAGAAACCGAGCTGACCGCGACGGCCGCCAGGTCCAGGAGACGTTGCGGCGAGCGCGAAAGCGGTCGCCGAGTGCTCGATTTCGACGTTGGAAGCCGGGCCCCGCCGCGCCGAGACACGCAGTGAGGAGCTTCAGAAGCAGCTCAAGGACGCATGCATCGACCGCGACCTCCTCGTCGGTGAACGCCAGGAGCTTGAGCAGCAGCACTCCGAACTTGCAGAGGATCGCGGGGGCCGGAAGGGCGGGCAGACACTGACGAAGCGGACGGGCATCCTCAGCCTGGCGGTGCTCGCCATTTCCATGTCGGAGCGCATCTTGGCGTCGCCTTTGCCGACGTTGCAGCGCCACCGCTAATGGCGCAGACGCCAGGCAACGACGCCATTGCCGCCTCGACCGCGGCCGTGGCTGAGCTTGCCAGGACGCAGGCGGCGAGCATGCAGGCGCAGACGCCCTCGGCCACGGGGGGCCCGAGAGGACCTCGGAGAGGCCACTGTCTGCCAAGGCACGACGCGGCCCGCGAATGGCATCTCGAGCGCCGCAGAGAGCAAGGGCGAGACGCAAGAGGCCTCGCGGGCAACAGGTCGGGCGGCCCGTCCGCCCGCGCGGCTCTCGCCGAGGAGCACGCGACGCAGGGCGCGAAGCCAGCCGATGTTGCTGTCCGTTTGCATGCGGCGCTGTTCGCCCACGGCGACGAGGAGGGCGGCGCCCGCGCGGACTCGCAGTCGACCGAGATGACGCGCGACCAGCGAGCTTGCGCGTTTCATCAGAACGAGTTTGCCTGCGGGAAGCGGGGCAGGACCCCGCTTGCGCGGGCCCCGCGGCGGCCGGGGCACGGCCCCGAGCCGCCCCGGATCATCGGGCGCAGACTCGCCGGCGGGCGAGGCAGGCGCCCGAGCCGGCGTGCTTGAACGGCCGCGGCGGTTGATAAGTACTTAGCGTACTTACTGCGTTATTTTCGTACTCAGTACTTAGATTGCGGACTCAGGTGAGTACGTAGTAAGTGCTTATTAAGTGGCCCACTTAGTAAGGACTTACTGAGTACTTAACTATCCACCTAGAAGTAGTTAGCTACATGTTTAGCGAGCTTAGCTAACCACGTATAACCACTTGTAGCCAGTTAGCTAAGTAGGTTATAAGTAACTTAGCGACTCATGGGCGTTTTTTTTTTTTTCATTTGTCAAAGGCTCTGCGCAGGGAGGAAAGGCAGGCCCCCCCTTGAAAAGAGCTCCGTCTGTTCGTTGGGCGCTGCAGAGGTACATAGTTAGCACCTTCGATCCGGAGCCGTCGTCTTGGATTTTTGCTTTTGCAAAACAGCAGCGCTGCAGCGCTGCCTTCTGATTCGTATGAATACGAAGCGCTGCAGCGCTGCATTGCAGTTTGCCGCGTGTTTCCTGGTTGCGCGTTGATCGGGCCCTCACTATCGTCCAGCTCCGTTGCAGAAGAATGTGAACGCACATGCAATTCCATTGTTGGTGCATGCGTTATATTTGACGGTTCGAAATGCGCGCCGCAGCGCTCCAAATTTGAGAGCACATATGTTATGTTGCGTTGCAGCACAAAACATGTTTGCATCGCCATTTCGCCTTGCGCTGCGTCGTGATGCGCGTTCGTGTCTTGCAAGCCTTGGGCTGCAGCCCATGCCAGCAGTTGCTCTCGCAATTTACCATGCCCCCCAAGTCGATGTGCACGAATGCCGCGCATCAGTTTGTCTCAAGCTGCGGCCGCGCGCCGCATCTGCAGGCCGCGCCCGCGGGTTCGCGCGTTGCTTTCGGCGCCATCGCGCTGGCGACGGCTGCGCTGCAGGCGCGCCAGGAGGAGAAGATCTCGCAGTACATTGAAGATAGCAGTGCCTCGGGGAGGTTGGCATCGGGGCGGGGCCACCTGAAGGAGTTTCTGCTGGCGGATGGGGCTAGCGTATGCGCGGCAGGCCCCGCCCGCCCAGGTGGGCGTCGACTTTGAGAATCGCAGCGGTTCGTTAGTGAACCCTGCGCGGGATCACAATTTAGGCGCGAAGATTTGCGCCCAGGGCCTCGTCTTGGCCAAGGCGGCAGGGGCCGCGGCCTTCCAGGCCCCGCCCGATGGGCCGCAGTTGCAAGAGACCACGCTGGCGAACGAGCGGCTCAGTGGGGGTCTGTGCCCTCCACTGGACCCATTGCAGTACGCGCCTGTGGGCGGCCCCCACACGAAGGTCTTCCTCCGCTGCGCGTTGGCCGAGGCACCGACCGCGGCGAACGCGCTGGCAGGCGCTCGGGGCATCATCGGCCCCGCGCGGCTGCGCTCGTTGCACCCGCAACTTGCGACGGCAGTCGGCAAGGGCATGACGTCGTTGATCATGAAGCATGCGGTGGCCAGCGCGAAAAGCCTCAAGAACTTCGCGCAGAGGGCGTTCAACGCCGACGTCAGGGAGGCGGCCCACGAGACCGAGATCATTCGATCAGGCTGCAGCCTATCTCCGCTGTGCATACATGCAGTAAGGATCAGGATGACGCATGAGGAGGGCGACGATTGGGAGGGCGCGGAGGAGGAGGTTGGTGATAACAAGGAGCTAAGCATGATAGGAGGCTGCAGCACGTGATCTGCTCGGCGCTTGCTGCAGGCAGGTGCGCGGATGCTCTTGGCACGCAGCCTCGTCGAGGGTTCGAGCAAGCCCGATTGGCGCGACATCGCCGGCCAGGCGGGCCACGCGAACCCACCTTGCAAGGCTTGGATCGCCGACCTGTGCAAGTTTGTTGAGCTCGGGCAGCAAAACGGAGAACTTCTCCGTGACATAGATGCGGCCTTCAAGACCTTCACGAATGTGGACGTCCCGGGACAAACTTTGATGCGCGGCTCCGAGTTCTGGCGCAAGTTGAATGCGATTAAGTGGGGGAAGCACAGTGGGGGTCATGACCGTGCGTCGCGGCGGCGATCGTGAAGGCTGATTATTCCGGCGAGCAAGTGGTGGGCAGCATGCGCAGAACCATCCATCAGCCTGTCGGCGCTTTTTCCCGCCCTGCATGCGCTGCAGCGCCTGGGCCATTGTTGTGCGTTGCGCTGCATTGTGGGAATTGCATGTCCGTCATCTCTCTTCGTTGCAATGCTAAGCCTTTCCCCAAAAGCAATCGCTGAAGCGATGGGCGGATCAAGGCGCGCGAGATCGCCCTCGTCGCGAATCCTGCCCGCAGGGCGGATGCGGCGGCGGCCGACAACCCCATGGCCGACGCAAGGTCGCTCGTGAAGCGGTTGGATACCAGGGCGGGGCAGGGCTTCTTGTGCACCGCAAAGTTGGGCGCCCGTTGTGCCATGTACCTGGTGAAGAAGCGAAGGCCAGGAGACCGCAGCTACGCGCGCGTAGCAGATGCCGCACAGGTATCTTCCCGCGCCTGATTTCGCATGTTTGTTGTTACTTCCTTCCTCCGCTTCATCGTTTTGTAACATCGCTGCAGCGATCCTCCCGAGAGGCGTTCATCGAGGAGGCTGGGGGGCCAGCCCAGTTGCAGATGAATACATTGGGGATTGAGTTCGGCAAGGTCGCGCCGACCGACAGCCGGGCGGGCGGTGGCGCGTCGCCCGCGGGCAACGATGCAGGCGCACCGCCCGCGGTGGCGGCGGCGTCGGCCGCTGAGCTGAAGAGCAACTGATTCCGCGCGCGGCGCGCAGGGTTCGACGCGGGGAAGCACGTCGTCCAGAAGGAGGGCGTGGATGACGTCTTCAAGGTGCTCTCCATCTCAGAGAATGGGGCCACCGCCCAGCAGAAGCTGCACGGCGGCCAAGTTGGCGAGGATATTGACACTGAGCGGCTGCAGCCGCCCCGCCGCCCAGGGGAACAGGGAGGGTCATGAGATCCAGGGGTGGTTGCGATGACGGCGCGGGCGATGGTGATGTCATGGGTGGAGGTGGTGGCGACGACACTGTAACGTACTTAAGTTAGAATATCTGGGTTGTTCGATGCGCTGCAGCGCGCTTAAGAACAGGACACCGAGCGGGCGGATTGCAGCAGACGGCCGTTCACGAGTGAGCACCTGCCGCCAGCCCATGAGGGCTGGGCGATGGATACGTTCAAGGGGGCATGCAGCATGGCGTTGCGGCTCCAGGCGCTGAAGCACCAGGCGAACATGCTGCGCTTGGAGATCATGCAGGACCCACCAGCCGCGCGCTGCAAGCGCGCGTTCAAGGCTGGAGATCTCGTCAGGCATGTGCTTCCGCAGTCGTCCGCGCCCCCCCCGCCCCCCATCCCTCTCCCCTCCCACCCGCGACGTCGCGCTGCAGCGCTGCGCTGATTAGACTTCAATGCGGATTTCCAGGCACGTCACGCCGCAGCGACGAGGCCGCCGATGATGCCGACTGCGCGCCAAGTGGCTCCACGGCGGGAGTCGTCGCATCTCGGCCGCGTCCACGAGGGTGAGCACAGGCTGCTCTGCAGACAGCGTTTCGCTGGAGAAAGTTGGCAACTGCGAGTTCTTCGTGAGCCCTCCGTTAGCGGGGCCCCAGGTCGACGCCTCGCGCAACCGCGACGCGTTCGTCTCGCCCTTCCGGAAGGTGGCGCGTGGCGAGGATCTCAACGTGGAGCTCACGACGGAGGTCGAGGTGTTCGGCGAGGGTACAAACGAGCTTCAGGTGGCTGCGCCCCAGATGGTCAACGCCGCGGCGCTGGCCAAGGGTGGCTTCCTGGTGGCGAAGCCGTGGCCGCGGCTGCAGCCGCGGCCAGCCGAGAAGCTCAGGGCGGCCTGAGCTGGCGATATCTGCATGCATGCATGAGAGCGCGGAGGAGGATCTGGCGGATGGATGGGGGCGCTAGCCTCGGAGGGAGAAGAGTCGGGGAATCGCCAAAACTTCCAGTCACTCCCCGCGGGCCTCCGCCATTCTGTGGCCGACGCGGGGCGCCAACCAACATCCGGGGGAATAGTGCGCGTGGCCCCGATAAGGCCTCGACTTCGCCCCCACCTACGGTTGGGGGAGTGCCCAAGCTTGAGAAGGGCGCGGATCCACGAGGCGTTCGTTCTCTTGTGCAGCGAAGGGGTGGCGGCCCACATGTCAAACCAAGCCTGCAACAATCGAATGCGGAGCGGGGTCGCGGGGCGCTGCCCCCCCAGCCAAACGGCGCGCGTGGGCGCGAGACATGTGCCATGGCCTCTACCAGCCACGGCCGGCGCGGCGTAGCGTCCCAGGGCGGCGATGGTCGAGGGCGGCGCGCCCATTATAGGGCGCGCACATGAGGACTGATGGGGGGGGGGGGGCATGGTAGAAACACCCCCCTGCAAACAGCAGACAACTTGGCATGCTTATGAAGCGCGAAGCGAACCGATCGCATCGCATACGTTCTTAGGCGCGTCTTCCCTTGAGCTTACGGACCGCTCTGCGAGCCCCGCCCGTAATGTCACAGCCTGGGTCAACGGCGTGGGCGGCCTTGATGGTCGAAAGCCCAACCTCCTTCAGATCGCGCTCCCGGGTTTGGCCGAGCGCCCCCGACCTAGAGACCAGCTAGGCGTCCGAGATCGGCAACTGCTGCTCGGCGAACGACTGGGCGAACTGTCCCGCCACGGCCACCGCGTGGGCATTAGCAGTCCCACCAGGGCTGCCATTGCGGAAAACAGCGTCATCCAGAGAGCAGAAGTCCACAGGCCAACGGGGAGGGCATTCGGGACGAGCGCCCGCCCGCATGGGCCCCACGAAGTCGTCGGCCATCTTGACGCCGAGGCCCGAGCCCGCCAGGGAAAACAAAATCGTTGACCGTGGTCATGGTGTTGAGCACCTTTTGGGCCAGGATAATTTGGACCTCAAGGAGAGCCACATTGGGTGGGAAACTCTGAGCCATCGAGGTATTCATCAACTTCCTCAGTCTAGCATTGTCACACAATTCTCTTAAGTCTTCGAAGGCCGAAGCTGACGCGAAGTCTAGGGAGGCTGCGCTATGGCCCATGACCGTTCGAACGATGGCGGCACTCAGAGCAAACGTTATAAATCAAAGAAACTGCCGTCTCTCAAGGGTGATCGCGAGACTCTGAACATCGATCAGCGATGCTGGAGCGAGCGCGCGACCAGATGCTGGCCGCTGTCGTCAAAATGCAGATGACTCTGTCGCCACCACTAGCCGTAAGGTCGGGAGCTCGAATCGTTCTGCCCTCATATTGATCGTTGCCAGGGCGCGCATGTCGCGCCCTGGCGCTCGCCCAATGATAGCTAGATTGGCGGGTATCCCCGCGGCGCCCCTAGACTGCACCAGCTCCTGCGCGCGACGAAATGCAAGCAAGCCGCCCCGCCTGGCGGGTGCAATGAAGCCTCCTGTGGGGCCCGGGTCCGCGACCTAAAGCGAGGGGCACATGTCTATACGAAAGTCGGCGCGCACCGTCGCCAAATCATTTGCCAGATCCACCGATTTCTCATCCATGTCAGCGTGTGCACGACGGGCGAGGGAGAACAAGAGGTAGAGGCACCTGCGGTTTTACTTTAATTTTGCGGTGTGCGAACTACGTAAATGGGGGCAAAGGCGAGTCAGCCAGCAAGTGGTGAATATATTCCATTCAAGGAGTTGCCAAGGGGGGAGGGGGAGGAGGAGGAGGAGGAGGAAGAGGAGGAGGAGGACGACGACAAGGAGAAATAGAGAGAGTGATAATGATGCGAAGAAGAAGAAGAAGCTGAATCAGATTAGTGATAGGCATAGCAACCATAAGAATAACAATAGTAATACTTGTGATAATAGTAATACCAACAATGATGTTAACAAGAATAAAATCAAACATGTGGAAGAAAATGAGAGAAGCGGTGGATGAGGCGGAGGAGGAGGATGGGGAGGAGGAGGAAAGAGGAGGTTGAAGAGGAAAGTGGTAGAGGGGGAGGAAGGTGGCGGGACGGACCGAGGCGCCGATGCAGACATTGAGGGTCGTTTTGGGATCGGCAGTCCTTCCCCATAGCCTACTCGTTCCTTTTCTCCCTCCTCCTCAGTCTTGTCGTTTTTTTTGTCATCATCTTCCTTGAAAGATATTGTAATCCATCCTTGTAGCACCACCAGACGTGCCGTCAGGGCGGGCCAGACGGTTTGCTTGGGACGTCCTCGCGACGCATGCTCTCGAAGGATGGATTGTCCAACAAATGTGCGAATGGAGCACAGGTCGTCTTCACAATTGGGCAATCGCTTTGGTGCCGCGCGCACTAGCGTTTCAAAAGCAGCAGCTAAATTGATGGTACACAGGTGATGTTCAAACAGTTGTTCTGGCATTGGCGCCGCCCACATTCGTTTTATTCCAGCCAAACGTGTTAAACGGATGGATGGCGGGCGTGTTCAAAATGGGGGTCTGGCATGTGTTCCGTGCATGCTGGCCTTTCTACATTCCAGCGGTTACACCGATGGGGTGGTGCCATTTCATGATGCTGCTCCCGTTTTTGATTCTCTCGAACTTTGTAACGCCCGGAGTCCAGATTTGTGCAACAGCTACCCGGACGGAGGGCGACTCTTCTTGCAAACGATATCTTTGTTTAAGACTCTGGTTTAGTATCGTAGCAAGGACTTAAAACATATACTACGCTTGCACGGTTGCAGGGCAGCTCCTCTTTGAAGCGGAGTTTTCGTTATTGAAAATTGCGTGAAATTGTATGGCCCTGCGTCCTCCCCCTCCTCCTCCTCCCCCTCCTCCTCCTCCTCCTCCTCCTCGAAGCTCTCAAAAGGATGGGCGTTGGATCCTTCACCTGACGGGGTCTAGCCTGAATGGCAGGCCCACAGGGCGCTCGCTTGCCAAGGGGTGCGCCTCCCGCAGTAGAAAAGAATCCTGTGGGGACTCTGTGGAGGGGAACCGGGACGGGAGTCCGTCGTGCAACACAGTCGAGGTAGATTGGGTCGATTGTGGTTTTGCTCCTCATGTTTCTCCTCCTCCTTTCTCCTCCTCCTCCTCCTCTCCTCCTCGGTCTTCCCTTTCCTCGTCCCCCTCATCCCCCTCCTCCTCAATCCTCCCCCGCCCCCCATCCTCGTCCTCATCCTTCGCCATCCTGGTTCCTTCTGCCAGGGGCTGGAGGGAGTCTGACTGCGTTGGAGGAGCAGGGGTGGGCAGCGGAGGGGGACAGAAGGAACGCTGGACGAGAATGGCCGCGGAGTTTCACCAAGCGCCCCCCCCCCCCGCCCATGTTGCGTACCGTGAACTGCAGGAGGTGCGCAAGGCGCTGAACGAGAAGGAGTCCGAGCTGAGCAAGCAGCTTGAGGCTTTGCAGGCCCTGCAGCAGCAGATGGACCAGCAGGCCGCCAAGCTCTCGGCCGAGGCGCTGGGGACTCCCAAGGGAAGGCGGGCTTTCTCGCTAACCGACCGTCTGCAGCCAATCAGCCCATACAGCAACGGTTCCTAGGCGAGGGGTCTTGACCAGGGAAGCGCAAAGGCCCCCAACGGCACAAAGGGCAGCCGCCCTACCACATGCACACTTCCCGTTCGTAGGCGGCGCCGCGAGGGCCTTCATTGATGAGTCCTGTCTGTCTCGTGATCTTGGCGAGATGCGGAGGTGCCCGGAGTCAACCAGAAGGGCCGTGGGTGAGGAGCCTTGAGAAGGGGGTCAACGCAAACGGGGGTCAGCCAGAGCGCCCGATCTTGCAGGATCCTGCAGAGGCCAGGGGCGCATTGACCTGGGTTTGGGTGCAGCATCCTGCAGGATCCTTCGCATTGACCCGGGTTTGGGTGCAGGATCTTGCATGATCTTGCAGGGTTCTGCAAGGGTTGACTGACCCGGGTCTAGAATGACCCGGGTCAGAAGATCCCCGAGTGGGTTCTTGGGTTTGTTTTGCGGCACTCGTGGGGCGTCTTGAGTGCTTTTTTTCATTGTTGGCGGAGCACGTTCTCATGTAGCCTCTAGTGGATCCTAGGGGCATGAGGGAGGAGAAGGAAAAGGATGATCGGGAAGGAAGAAGGCGACGACGATGACGAAGACGACGGCGGCGGCGACGACGACAGGAATCAACCGTAAAGGCCTTCGCGGGTCTTTCGCTTTGAGATCTTGCGTTGGTTGCCCAGATGGTTAGAACAATGCCATGCCTGCTCTGTCGCGGTAACCATGGACCATTGAGCTCTCGAATCAGAGAAGTGCAAACGCCCCCACCATCTGGGTTCGAACGAGAAGGTGTCCTATCTTGCAGCAACTACACCTTGGGATGCACATGAGCTATATTTGTTGCATCACGGAGATCATGGGGCATTCAAAATTCAGAAGAGGGGGAAGCCATCACCACCGTCTCGAGTGAGACGGTTGCACGATCTTGGCTCGACTGGACGAATGTCCGGCTCCTTTTGGCGGCTCCCATTTGGACTTCCAAAATATGATCTTTGCTACATCGTGGTGATCATTGGTGTTTGAAACAGAGGGTTGGAGAGACGCCGACATCAGCATTTCGCTCCAGACCCCCCCCCCCAATCTAGGCGCGAATGGGTAAGTGTCCACACCTCTGGCGGTTCCTCCTCGGGGTGTCTCGGGATGTCCACATGTATGTGTGCTACATCGCGGTGGCCATGGGCCTTTCAAAACAGAGAAGTCGGTTCAGCCAACCCCAGCGTTTCGCTTGAGACGTTCCCAAAATCTGGGCGTGAACGGGCAAGTGTCCCACCCCTTTGGCGGCTTCCCCTTGGGGCACCCGAGTGTAATGGCCGCTACATCGCGGTAATCCTGAGGGCTCTCAAAACAAAGAGTCAGAGAAAGCCAAAGCAGCGCTTCTATTGAGGCGTACCCACACTGTGGGCGCGAACGGGCAAAAGTTCTACCCTCTGACGGCTCCCCCCTGGAGTGCCCAAGTAATACGATTGCTACATTGCGGTGGTCATCCATGAGCGAGTGTGGGTATGAGTGGTGGGTCTCGTGTGAGTGAGTCTGAGTGTCTGAGTGAGAGCAAGTACGGCAGAGGGAAACAATGAGTGGACACTCCCCCGCTCCCGGAAACTCAAAGATGGCACGCGCGTGGAAGATTGCAGTCGAAGTGCAGCTCATTCAACCCACCGCCAACATTGATCACTGGTGGGTGGGGGGGGGCGTTGACAGATGAACGCGGCATGAGCGTTCGCTAATTTATTCCGAGTTCTGTATGGCTGTGAATAAATCTGAACGCGACCGAGTGTGAGTGTGAGCGACTCTGAGTGTGAGTGAATATGACTTCGAGCGCGAGTGGTCCGAAGGTGGATGTGAGAACCAGGGGGAATATGGGAGTGAGGAGGCGGAGGCGCGACACTCAGACACGAAACATAATTAGGATCTGGGGAACAAGAGCCCCATACCTAGGAGGTTGAGAATCAAGGTTGAGTATGATGTGAGTGTGAGCGTCATGGAAGAAGTGAGCCTGGGCGTGGCCGAGTCTGAATGTGAGTATGGGCATAAGTGAGCCGTACAATGAGTGGGAGAGGGAGGAGGCGAGAAGAAAGGAAGGGGAAGGTGAGGCGGAGGCGTCCACTAATAACTGGAGCACCACGCTCAGGAAATGGGGAACAAAGTACATCAAGCACGTAGCTGGCCAAGATTGCGTGTGATGAAGGTATGCTGTTTCGATTTGGCTCACGGCGCTGGATTCGCTCCATTTGTGTAGTTGTGTTGCCTTGGAAGCTCTCTGGTGAGTGCGGCGAGGTAGCTTGGGTGAGGAGCAGTAGAGCGTCAGGTCGTCTCAGACATTTGGCCTTGGGGCCAGTGGCGGCTTCTCGGCTGAGAAAGGGACCGCCCCACCGTGCCGAGTAAGCAGTGCCCTCTTCCCTGTCTCGCCTCCCCCTGATTATTTGGTTACTGTAGCCCTGCCGACAGTTCGTGTTTGCTGGTTCTGCCATATTCGGTTGCCGCCCACGAGGCGAGGTCGACCATGTGTCCTGGGAAGGTCTCCAAGTTGCGGGGGAGGATGGGGTCTGCTTGCCAAGGAGCACTTCCGTGCCTTCCGCATCGCCTCTACCTGGTTGCTCCATTCTTCCCCTCTGCACCCCTCCCTTTCATCCTCACCATTGCTTTGTTCCCCCTCTCCCTATTTCGCTCCCTCCCCCTCTTCCCACTCCTCCTTCGCCAAACCCCGTCCATCCATTCATCCATCCTTTCTCCCTTCCCGCCCTAGCTATTGCATGCTGCGGTTCCCCATTGCACCCTGGACGGGATTCTTCTTTCGGGCCTCCCAGACAGGTCACGACCACATCGGCAGAGCTCGAGAAGGCTCGTGCCGACAACAGGCCCTAGGGTGCGAAGCTTGCCCCGAGCAGAGCATTTGCCATCCTCTCCTCTCCTGACCTCCCTCGGTCCTTAGTTGTCGATGGTGCCTGGAGGTGCTTGCGCCCTGGGATGGGTTATGGGTTCCATCAGGTGCGGTCGGTCCGTCAAGAGGCTTCTTGATAGCTCAGGGTTCCCCCGAGCGGCCGCCTGGGGACTTAATTGTTACCCCTAGGCTTAAGTCGGGCCTGTCCCTCTACAGGAGGAATATACAAACAAATAGTAAACCAATAGTCTGGGGACGATTTGTTTTGTATGTTTCGATTTTGTTGGAGTATGCTTTGGGTTTTTCTTATTGTCCGTCTAAAAAATCCCCCTGTAGGGGGACACGCCCGACTTAACCCTAGGCCGAACCGAGGGAGGAGGAGCTTGAGATCCAGGTGCCGTGGGCAAGGCGCAGTGGTCATGTGATCCCTCAGTTTGGGCCCCCCGGGACCATCGCGGAAGGATCATATGCTAGACGATCGAGGCAGAAAGGTGGTGTCGAGAGCTCCGCGGCTGTGATGCTCAACGGAGCTGCACGTGCTCACAGTTTCGCTGCCCTTCTCCCAGCAGCGCTCGCACCAGGAGCTCGCACCTCTTCCGTGGGTAATCCGCCCGCTTTCCGGAGTTCTCGTCCACTGGCCGCCTGTGGGCGCCTCGGGAGCACGCCGTGGGCGCCCCGTGCGCGCGAGTCGCCCGCGGGCGGGCACCAGCCGAAACATCGGCCGGTGCCCGCCCAGCGCACGAGGCGACCACCAGGCGCCCATGGGCGGGCAGAAGGAACAGCTGAAGCACGAGAGGCAGGAGCCCCTGATTGTTAGCACTGGTCGGGGAGCCTTGCAGAAGCCATCCATAGCCCGTTCGCCCACGTCAGCAAGGAGCTGCCGGAAGCCAGCCCCAAGCCACGTGGTTAGCGTGCCAGTCCGTCAAGCGAGAGCATGCGGGCCACGCGCGCGCATGTCGAAAACGTCTCGACCATGGCACGCGCGCCGGATCATCTAAATGATAGTGCGGTGCTGGTCGCATGCGCGCATCTCCGCGCGCACGTCGTTACCCTGACGAAGGACCTACGCCCCTCTCCTCATTGACAACGCGTCACGAAAGGGATGGAGCACGGAGCAGTGCAAATGCGTGCGGCGGGAGGACGACGGACCAGGCGCGCAGAGGCGAGCTGCGCTCCCCTGGTGGTCGTTCTGCCTCTCCCGCCAATCTCCTCCTCCTCCTGCTCCTCTCTATTCTCCTTGCGACCCGCGCTCTTGCTGTCTCTGCAGCTTCTCAGCCCCAAAGCGCCCCCCTCGGCCGCGCGCGCGGGCGCCTTATGCAGGCGATCGCGTAGGTGGCTCTCCAGGGCGCGGGGGACATTCTTTTTCGGGGGGTGCGGGCCGCGCTCTGCGAGCGGCTCGTCGCCGCCCCCGTTTCTGTGCTTCAGGACCAGGGGCCTCCGCTACCGCCTGGTCCACCCAACAGGCAGACCCGCCTGGGGGTGAGGGGGCCGTTTGCCCCCTCCCCTCGGCGGGCTCTGCCTGTCCCACCGTCTGCCTCGGGCAGGCGGTGGAGTTGAGCAGCGGGGCCTCTCCCCGGCTGCTCTCGACGGTCGCTGCCCTCCTCTGGGTGACGGCCGCGTGCAGCGCCTGCGCAGGCTGCTGCTCCGGGCTGCTGGGCCCGTGCCTGTGGCGGAGGCTCTGGCCCTTCGCCTGGCCGCGCGGTGCGGCGCCTGCTCCGCTCGAGCAGGACCGCCGCGCGGCCCGAGCGCTTGCTTGCGGGCCAGGAGCCCAGGCGCTCGACAGGGCTCGGGCCCTGCGTCCCGGGGTCGGTGCCTTCGTCGGCGCCCGCTCAGCGCGCCGCGCTCAGCTCGAGGCGGCCCTCACCGCCTCGCGGGGCCGAGCCCCTCGGACGGTCCTCCTGAGCCGTTCCGCGCGAGCTTCGCTCGCTCGCGCTCGCTCGCGCGCGCTCTGCTCTTCCTCTCCCTTCTGGCCGCCTGGATGGCGCATCCGCTTGTCGGCGGAGGTCCCATCTGGCCCGACCTACGCTCCTTTGCTACAGCTGCTGCCGCGCGACCGCTCGCCGGCAGGCGCTCTCGCAACGAGACTGCTCAGCGGAGCGCTGCCTCAGCGACGCGAACCCAAAAGCTCCCGCCTTTCCTCCCCTCGCCTCCCTCTTCTTCTTCCATCGAGGCGGGGGGAAACGACGAGGACGAGGAGGGGTACGAGGAGGCTGAAGACCTGGGTCTCCGCAGCGAAGAACAAGCCGCCAGAGGGAGGAACGGTCTACTGCTCGCGCCCCACCAGCCACCGCCGCGCAGTACGCACCGCCCGCAGCCCACTGCAACTCTGAGCCAGCCTCACGCCCGCCGAACCGCGGGCGAGGAGGCAGAGCGCGCGAAGGGAACCGCCTTGGGGACGGGGGAATGGGAGGAGGAGAGTCCTGCTAACCTCCACCTCCTCACTCACTCCCCTCCCCCCCTCACAACGCCATGGCTCGACCGGGGCCCCGCTTGCTCAGCGGGCACCGAGTGGCCGCTTCGCGCGGCCTTCCGGGTTCCAGGCACCGACGCGGCGGGCCTGTCCTCGTCCTGGTGGGACGCGTCATCAGCTGAGCCACCCGCTTTGTTGGCGAGCGCCTTTGACGTTCAGCGCGGTGTGCCCCTTATCTGCACCCTCCCGCCGCCGACGCTGCAGGGCAGGCGTCCCCTGCCGCCCCCAGGCCTCGCCGAATTGGGTATCGGCCCCCCTCCGGGCCTTGGCCCTCCATCGGCTGCCGAGCGAAGGCCGCCGTCGCCACGGGTTCCGACGGGGTTGCCTCCTCGTCCGCCACCCGGTTTGGTCGCGCCGTTGGAGCCGGATGTGTGGCGTGTGGAATCGCTTCCGCGTTTCTCCGGCATGGAGGCCGGCGCTCGGGTGCCGCCTGCGATCAGTCCGTGCACGCCCGCGGAGTCGTTTCTCGTCGGTGGTGGATCGCCCTTCCAAGCCGGGCGGGCGGGGCCGCCGCCAGGTCTCGCCGACCCAGAGGCGCTCCCGTCGCTCCACCGTAACGCTGTTGATCCCGCCTCACTTTGGGCGTGCGCTGCCCGTGACTTGGGTTGGTATGGTGATTTCGGAGGGCTCCCACCGCCTACCAGCCTCGTGGGTGGTGTCGGCGCGCCCGCCGCCAGTGGTCCATCCCCGCGTGCGGGCGCCCGCGATTTGTTGCACTCGCTCGGGCTATTCGGGGATCCAGCCTCATCCTTGTCAGCCCTGCCGCCCCACATGAGGACATATGCGATGGCGTCAGCCGCCGATGCCGCTGTTTCACGGGGGGTTCTCGTTGCGGCTGCTTGCCAGGCTACTCCTCCACCCGCCGCCGCTGTGCCTTCGCGCGGTGCTGCGGGCTCGGGCACTTGCGACTTGCCGCGGTCGCTCGGGGTGCATGGGGACCCCCCCACGCCCCCGCCCGACACAGCGTCGGTGCTGGCAGAGTCTACTTCTGAGTTCGGCTGCACGGGCGACCCGGGCGGGCTCTGGCCGCCGACCTGTCCCGCGAGCGGGGTCGACGTGTCAGGTGCACGAAATCCTACTCCATGTGGCGCGGGCGCGTCCCGCGTTGGCAACGGGACGTCGTCAGCCCACGTTCGGTGCCCTTCTTCTCTGCGCCGACTCGACGCGTCGCCGGCCGCCTTCGTGTCTCCTACGAGCGGTGCTATCTGCTCGAGTCCACGCGACGTGCTGCGGGCGCCCAGGGTTCGCGGCGACCTTCCCGCGCCCCTGTCAGACTCAGCGGGTCATTCGAGCGCTCACGACCTGCCGCGGTCGCTCGGGGTTCCTTCGGACCTGGCTGACGTGGCCGACAGGATGGCTGCATTGCCCCTGGCCACCCCAAGGCCATCAGCAAAGCCTTTCGCCGCTGGGCCCCGCGCCTCCGCCTGGGCAACACGACCTTGCCTCGGTCGGCGGCTTCGCCGAGGCGGGCGGCGCGGACGCCGTGGACCCGCCTCCTGCGGCTCCCCAGTCGGACCTCAGCATGGCGCTGATGTGCTTGCATCAGTCCCCAGCCCTAGCCCTGCAGCAGGGGCGGGGCTCCCGCCCAGCAGCTCATCCGCTACTGGGGTTTCTGAGCGACTACGCTCAGGCCCCGTCCGCATCTTCGGGCGACCTCAACTCTTCGTCCACTCAGATGCGGGGGATCGCACGGCGGCGCGCTTGGCATGCTACCTTGGCGCAGCACGGTCCCGCCGTGCGAGACCCGCTCGGGGTTCAGACGCTGCTGACCTGCCAGTGCATGTTCATCGATCAGCAGGCGGGGGACCGCGGCTGCCTAGAGGCCGCATGGTTCCTCACGGGGGTGGAGCCCACTCCATGTCGCGTCACCAGTCAGCACACGGAGCGCGAGGCGCAGTCCCCGTTTTCACCCCTCGTGGACTTCCGCTGGCTGTCCGCGCAGGGCGAGTACATGAAGGAGCTGCAGGTTTTTCGGACGCGCCTCGACGCCGAGCGCGCCGCCGCGCTTCCCCAGCAGCCGCCTCACGTACCCAAGCAGCCCAGGACTCCAAAGGTGCCTCCCAAGGTACCGAAGGTGCCACCCCAGAAGCAGTGACGGGACCGCTGCTGCCCGTCACCTGCGAGGGAGCTGCCTCCAGTGGCCGAGGTTCAGCGCCGCAGTCAGTCCGTGCTGACGCTGCTGCGGCTGCTAGGCGCGCTTGGGCGCAGCGAGGCCGTGAGGGTAGGAATGCGCTCTTCCAGCGATGCTGGTGCGGCCCCGCAGGGAGGAGTTCGTTCCGCCATCACGCCTCTCGCTTCGCTCCGAGCCGCCCCTCGTATCCACCCGGCCATTTTGGCCACCACTGCCCTCAGTCGAGCTCCCCCCGCACGGGGTGCGCAGCCCCTGAGAGCGGTGTCCTTGCTGGCGCGCGTCCTGTCGCGTGCACCCCCGCTGCCATTGCTAAAGTCGCGCCCTTTGTCGCTGACGTGTCTTCCTTGCTGCGTCTTTTTCCTGGCGCAAACATCGA